AACCCCTCTGGGTGGCGTACAGCAACGGATAGAATAGAATAAAATACAGTATTTTAAACATAATAAAAATTCTCTAGAAATTTTAAACTGAATTTTAACAAGTTAAATTCTATGACAGGTTCATACAGCTCAGCCTGCTCAAAGCAGCTGACAGCATCCACCCCCAAGTGCTATTTCGAGGTGTTAAATGCCTTGGTCCAGAGGGCAGCCTTAACCTGACGCCAAAGGGTTAGTAATATTGCTGCCAGGCAAGCCCCAGTGCTAAGATCAATCCATAATTCGGGGACTGTTACAGAGAAGGCCCTTCTTGAAATCACAGAATTGCTCCATTTGGCAGCATTTCATAGAGACTTGTGATGAAAAATGCAGCAGCCAGTTGCTTGATGGTTGGAATTGTCAAGTAACAAGCCATTGCCAATGTGTTTAGCGCATTCTCAAGTGTTGCGTGTGTGCTGTGTGCAAGAGTGGCTTCCCAGCTGTTTTCTGGAGAACCTAAGGGCTCCTCAGAGACAAGCGTTTGTCTAGTGCTACTGATCTTTGCCTGAATAGCACAACTGGAGTGGAGGATGGGTCCATTTAGAGGGTACGATTGTGTGGGGCCACACTGGTGTTGAACAGTCCTGGCTAGTGCTTGCTCGTGAGATGAGAAACAGCATTGTCTAGTGCGTAGTAGGGATAACCGACTCTGTCAAGCTCCATTTCTCATTTTTCCAATGCTAAATGTGTCCAGCCTGTTTCTGCATTGGACTATGATGTGGGGTGTGTGTATGTTTCTGTATGTTTTTTTAATCCCACCTTGAGCTCTTTTTTAAATGCATGCCTTTTTATTACATTTTTCCAAGCAGATTTTAACTGAATATAGCACTTACATTTTCGCACATATTTTATAAAAGATTTCACACTCTTTTTTTTTGAAATGCATGCATTTTGTATGCATATTTGTATGAGCTGGATCTGAGAATATGCAGAGTTCATTAGCTGATGGTGTTCTGCTCTGTATTTAGGTTCAGGAAGTGTGAATTGGGTAAGTTTCCATAGAAATGCAAACCAAATGAATTTCTCACTTAATGCTAGTAGTTGAACTGTTACTTCAGAACTAAGGGTGATTCTGGTTCAGTTCCCCACTCAGCCTGCAAAGCTTTGTCCCTCCGCATGCTCTCACACTAATCTACCTCCTAGAGGTTTTGTGTGAATAAAATGGAGGCAGAAATATCCTGTTCTGAGCTGAGTTTTCTGAATCAAGGCTGGGCTAAAAAATAATAACCATAAAAATTTTGTGTGTGCACTCTGGAAATTCTGCTCCATGAGTTGGGGGTGTGGGGGGGGGGCAAGTGCCTATTTTTATTTAATGTTTATGCCAACCTCTATTCTTGCAAAATTTTCAAAGTGCATAATGTAGATATTAAAAATCTATATTAAAATGAGCGGTCTGATTTTTTGCCCGGCCTTTGTAGTCACCCTAAAAATTTCAGTAGGCAGGTTCCTGCTATTTTAGTCCTTGATTTCATGCTGTTCCTTTGTATAAGATCAGAGGCAATTCTCTGCTTCCTTTCCTGATTTCAAGTGTGCAGCTAGAAAGGAGCAAAAGCCTTTAGAATAATTGCTATATTTATATTCTACCTTTTTCTTGCACAGAACTCAAGTCAGCTTACCTAAGTGGCCCCCTCTCCATTTTATTCTCACAATAACCCTGTGCACTCATTGAGGCCGAGAGTCAGTGACTGGCTCAAAGTTACCCAGTGAACTTCAAGGATGGGAACTAGAACCTGGGTCTCCTGGGACTCAGTACAACCCTTGAACCAAGACAGCTGCCAATTGATAGTTCAGCTGTCTTTGCACTTCCAAAGAGGAGGAGTTGGTTGTTTCAGCAGTGCAGCACCTGAATGATCCCAGACTGCCTGCCAACCTTGAACCTCGGCAGCCACAAGAAGGCAAACATAAATGTGGATCCCAGATAAGGAGGCACCAGCATTGACTATACAGTATGTGAGCATTTTAGGAGATGGGCAGAATGTTTTCCCTCTGCTTTCCCTTGTGTTTTTTACTGATATCGATGATCCTTTAGGGCTGTGAAATGCTTAGTTTTTTAAAAATTTTAAGGACACTTATTCTGCTCCACTCTTGCTGGAAATATTTGGTAAAATAGATTAGGTTGTCTGTTAGTTTATCCTCCCCTAAAAAAACTGTAAAGAAATAAGAAAGGATAATTAGTATTCTGTACTTGTGATATGTGGCTGCTTAAAATGCATGCATTCCATGCTTAGAACAAGATATCTGCATTTTCCTTCCTTTTTGTTGTTCCTAGAAACAATAGAGGCTTCATAAATCTTTGTATACTCTGAGGAGAAGGAACAATGCAAAAATCTTGTGACTGGATGATGTGGGGGGTTTCTAGGTTGACTTCTTGGATAAAGGCATCCTAGGAATGGGAAGTGAGATTCCCTGGTGGTTTTGTCAGGGCTTTTTGTATTTTGCCCTGAACCTTAAATTATGCATCTTTCTCCTCACACAGTTAAATTTCCTATCTCTGTAAATGTTGTGCAAGCTTTCAGAATTTCTTCAAAAGGATCATTTTGTATCCTTGCATCCTACTGGGTCATGGGGAGGGGTAAGGGAAACTACAGCAAGCACTAAAATCTCACCCATGTCTACTTAGATAGTTCCTATGTTATCTTCAGATATTTCAGCAGGCATCACCTGCATAGGTAGTTTACTGCCTATTTTTGCAATAATAAGGTCAGGAAGCTTGAAGATTTTTTTTAAAGCATGGAATCAAAGGAAATGAATTCTCCAAAACTTACATGCTGTGTGATTGTCTAACTTCTCACACAAACACAATAAGCCAGTTGTGTTTAATTGCTTACCACTGTCCATATTTTTAAAACTCTGGCAGGATAATCGAAGAATGGATCTGATACTCTGTGCACAAGTATTTCATGTGTTTTGAAATGCTTGCTTGTATTGACAAATGCAGGGCACCTCCAGTATGTGCAGATGCATCCTGCCCTGGAAGTTAGCTCTCCAGTCTATCGGCTTGTTTTCTGGGCCTGCCGTATTTGTTGCTTTATGGTAGCACTCAGACATTACAATGTTCGGTTGATTTGTGTTTAGCAGTGTCCTATCTATAAGAATAAACACCTAAATCAACCTTCAAAAGTTAAGTTTAAAATTGACTTCAGCTCAGAGTGCAATTAATGATCATCTGTAGCTAAGATTAAATTTTGATTTTGTTTCCTATCAAGTCAGGCTTAGCTTGAAATAGTGAGCAATCCTGTAACTTGTCAGCCCATAGGATTTTCTTCATTGCAGTGGGTGCCAACTGAGGGACATGTTAAAATAGAGATTCGGGTCCTTATGTCTCGGAATAGGGAACAGGGGAGATCTAGGTGGTGGACTGCAATTTCTGCTCTCCTTCACCCTTGGCTGTGCGTGCACACAGGAAGACTGTCTAGCTGTGAATCCTGCTTCCTTGGCTCTTTCCATCTGATAGGTGTGAAAGGATGATTTGAAACAAGGGAGTAGAAGAGATTTGAAAAGGTAACAAAGAAAATCACTTAGCCCAAAGGAGGGGAGGGGCCAAAATCAGATAGCACAAGGTATGGGGAAACAGGCATGTAGGCAGGAGGGCCCAATGCTTCCTGATTGTTTATTGACAAGCTGGGCAGAACAAAATGAGCCTCTTGTAGCCCACCGGGGGCAGGGCTGGACTGGGAAGAAGGGCCGGTGTTGGGGCAGCGCGGAGCAGGCGGGTGGAAAGAGTGTAACTCTCAGTACCCTATTAGCCTTTTAGGGGAAAGGGGGAGGGAACAAGCGGCCGGGAGCAGGGTTCAAAAGGGGTGTGTGAAGATGTGCTCAGGTGAACAGAAGAATGGGGCGGAAACCATTCCTTTCTGTTCCCTTCATTGCAAGAATGTTTTAAAAAGAACTCTCTGCATGCCTGGGATATTTTTCTCTTCCAGCGGAAAGGAAAGAGTGTTCATAACACATCTGGCCTGGCAGAGTGAGCTCTGCTGGAATGACAGCAGCTGCAAAAGCTGCCACCCTTGTAATTTCTGTTGCTGTTGGGATTTTTTTTTTAATTCAAGTTTAAAAAATAGCATTCTTTGTTTGATCTTGCTGTGAGTTGCTATTAAATTGCTTATATTTTGTGTGTGTGTATGGTAGTGTATATTACTGTGGGATACCTAGAGAAACAGCTTAGAAATATTATTAAATAAGGTCAGCCATATGTAAATGTGGAGTCCTATTGCATTGGTTGCAGGCTGCCAAACTTGGAGTCTTCTGCTCATCATAAGCAGGGCAGGAGGGCAGCCTTCACTTTGCCATCTTTTTGCCCTGAAATTTTGCTAGTTGGGCTTTTTTTCTGGCAAAAACATTTCACAGTGGAGGAGAGGAGTATAGGGAGGCCTCAAGATACGTAACAACTGGGCTTCTCCAGACTCCCTCCCCGCCTACACCACTTTAACACCTCTCTGAGGTCGCTTTCCCAACTTGAAGAATGGCCAGGGTGGTTTTTCCTTGTCCCCTCACAGCTGGTTTTGGAAGGAGTTGGGACCTGGGTGCTCTGTCCAAACTTGGAACGGAGAATCCAAGTCTCCTGTGGTTCCACAAGTGCCTAGGAGACAGGTGATTTCTTCCTGAAGGAACCTGCTTTGTGTTCCTTGCAACATGGTAAATGATGGGTTATAAAAGGAAAAGTAACAGAAGTAAAATTTAATGTGTTACGTTTGACCATCTAAATCTTAACACCGATTGTAACTGCTAAGTAATCTTCTGGGAATGTGGCTATATTTTAGTGTGTCTGTATTTAATCTGGCTGAAAAATTAAGCAGTTCTGAGCATGCTTTTTCGAAGGAAAGGTGGCATACAAGTAAACTGATAATGGGAGTTGCAGTCCAATAATATCTGGAAGGCCACACATTCTCTGCCACTGCTGTGTATGGTTTGGGATATTTTCTTAGAACTCTTTCCTCCCCTCCCTTTTCATTTTGGCGTTTCAGACTTCGGTGTTAGTGCTTTTTTAGCCACTGGTGGTGACATTACGCGAAACAAAGTGAGGAAGACTTTTGTGGGCACACCCTGCTGGATGGCACCTGAAGTCATGGAGCAGGTAAAAAGAAAAAAGTTGCTTTTACTGTGGTGCTGCGAACTTCTGTATTGCAAATGGGCACTTCCAACATAGCACCTGTCAGATTTTTCCCTCAGTTTTATCAAGCGTACGATAGGTGGATCAATAGATAGATAGATAGATAGATAGATAGATAGATAGATAGATAGATAGGAAAAATAAATGCACATACCAACTTCAGTGCATTAAAAGCATTAGTTGAAAGCATAATATGAATTAACAAAGGCTTTAAACCCAATATTTAATAATAGATAACGTATAAATATATCCTGTATGACTAGAGTTACAATCCCCTTTCTTAACACTTCATTGAAGGAATGCACATCATCTTCTCCATTGCTATAAATCGGGATTTTTTTACTTCCCATGTTAAATAATAATCTTAGCCACATTCTAAGCTCAGTGTCTGCATCTCTTGAAATGAGGCGAGATTCCATATACTAAGAATATAGCTTACCTGAAAATGTGCATATTTAATAAACAATGAGTTTTGTAGGGTCATATTAACATGACTGCGAATATCAGACCAAAATGAAATACTAGCAGGACAACTTATGGAACGCGCTCCCCAGAGAGGTCTGCCTGGCGCCATCATTATTTGTTTTTCGGCGCCAGGCCAAGGCCTTTTTATTTCAACGTTGTTTTAATGGTTAATGTTATTTATTGATTTTAAAATTTCGCCAGGATGTCTTCACTATTTTATGTATTTGTATGATGGAATTTATTTATGATTGGAAGCCGCCCCGAGGCTTATGCGAAGGGGACGGCATATAAGTTGTCTAAATAAAATAAATAAGTCCAGATTGTAAATATAACACCATAAACATTTTCTGTCATGTCTTATAAATAAGAAACAGAAGTATCTCTTGTATTCATCACATTTTAAGGTCAAACGAGGATCAGTTTACTGTATTTAAAGCAACCTGCCACGGGTTTAAGAGAATAGGGTGACCCAGCACCAGTCGGCATGGTAATCCTTGAGTGCTAAGAAGTTTTCCCTGCCTTTATCCTGATGGATGCTCTGTTGTGATATCACACAGGCCACTGGCCGTTCACATTTTTCTCTCACACATTGGTGATGAGATAGCCAGTGGAGCTTGGAGGTAGACCTTTGTGGTGGGACTAAAGACAGTCATTAAAGTAGTATCCTCTAGCTACTTTTGGAAGATAGCATCCTCCAACCTGGTACCCTCTAAAGGTGTTGGACTATACACTTCATCATCCTCAGCCACATTTGAGGTAATGGCAGTTATAATCTGACATCTTTAGTGGAGAAAGGCTGATACAGTGGCTGGAGTGTTGTGGGGAGATTCAAGTTCAAAGACTCGCTCAGCTGTGAGACTCACTGGTTGGCTTTGGACCAGTTGTGCATTCTCAGTCTAATCTCCATCACAAGGTTGTTATTAGGATACAACGGAGTATGTGGTGTCCATGGACACCAGTCTTAAATAGGTTTTATGTAACTTATATTCCTCATCTTTGAGGTAAATGAGAACCCATGTGGTATGATGGTTGGAATGTTGAACTGGGACTCAGATGATCTCAGTTCTAATCCACACTTGTCCATGGCTCTCACTGGGTGACTTTGGGTCGATCACTGACTCAGCCTAACTGACCTCTCAGGGTTGTCGTCAGGATAAAATGGAGAGGCTGAAGATTATGTAAGCTACCTTGGATTCCTTGCATGAAGGCAAAACATGAAATATACATATAATAAATAAATTGCATGAAAATATATTGGCTGCAATCCATGAATAATTGATTTTGTTACAGGCAGATGTCTTTTTGGTATAGCCGAAGCTATAATCAGTTGAACATTGAGAGACACGTACTGTTGTGGAGGGGCAGTGTTTGGGTTAGAAGGCACCTCAGAGTAAGGCCAGATTCAGCCAGTCACTGACTGACTTCGGATTATGCCCTCCAGTGCCTTTGATATACTAACCTGTCATTTCTTAGAAAGCATTCTGTAAATTTCAAGAGCTGCAAGAATCTATTGGCCCAAGGGAGTGGAAATCATGAGCAGGATGGTAAAAAGGGATTGGGAGGCAAGGATATTACTTTCCGACATGAATGCCCCAGGTCAAATCAAGAATGGTATCTCTGTATTGGGCCAGGAGAGACTAAAGTAACTTTAATTTGTGAAGTGTCTCTAACCAAGGAAGAAAACATTTACGATAGATAGCTTTAAAGAAGAACTCCGTGTGTGTTTAGACAGAAGGAAGTCCTCCAATTTCCAGCATGCCCCAGCCAGCTCGAGTTCCTAAGCGTTATGTGGAAGGAAATGTATTTGAGGAAACATATGGAACTTCAGGAGTTAGAAGAGGGGCAGTTGTAAGAAAGACTGTCCCATCCTCTGCCAGTGAGGTTTGCTTATTGGATGTGATCATGCATTTAAAAACACTGTATGCTAGTTTAATCCTGTCCCATATTTTAGCGTGGCATATCATGGGTCATAAGGTGTCCACAAAATCCAGCATTTAGGACTTTCCTCCATGTTATGTGCTATTAGCAAACTGGAGTTTGCAGCTGAGCGTTACATATTTGACAGGGAGCTGCAGCCATCTCTAACTCTGATGGAAGGGTCTCCATGGTGAATGAGTTTTCAAAACACAACTTTCTCAAGCACACACAGGATTAGCTCTGTATATGAATCAACTCATAGATGTAACTCAAATACAGGTGTAAGTTTTTAGAAAAACCTTGGTTGGGTTATCCTGGAGAAATAATTTAATTCTCTGCCTCAGGTCCTCCACCTGTAAAATAAGAAAAATGTAGGCCTACGTGATGGCTGGGAGAATAATGCAAGGAGAGATCTCAAAGCATGTAACACATTAAAGTGCTGCCTCAATATTCCTTTAGAAAAAAAATTCAGACAGTTTCTCTTTGTTTCAGACAGCTTTTTTTCCACCCAGCTGCGCACTAATATATGAAGCCAAAGTTCTTTGGCTTCAAGGGGAATTATTCTTAATTCCAGACCAATGTTGAATTAGTGAAAGAGCACACTGCTATCACATTTGTCAAAATTTTAATTTTATAGTGATTCCAGAGGCATTTCTTTCCACCCATTAGGCCAAAACACTTGAGGTATCTTAATGTTTGTCAGAGAGAACACAGAGTGTTCCTTCTCTACAGCTGAGAGAGAAAATAAAAGTTCTGTTTAAGATGCCAGGTAATAGCCTCGTGCCAGAGAGGAAATGGCTTTCATGAAAATGGAATGTCCTGCATACAATGATGAAGAAGGATGAGCTTCCACATATTACTTAGACTAGCATGTGCACGGAACTGGAGCAGTTGCTGTGACCGAGGACATAGGAAAGTTTTGGAAGCACACAACTTGGGATATAGTATAACAAAAAGAGAAATGTGCTTTTAACACATCTGTTGCTTTGCAGGTCAGAGGTTATGATTTCAAGGCAGACATCTGGAGTTTCGGCATCACAGCAATTGAGTTAGCTACTGGGGCAGCTCCTTACCACAAATATCCACCCATGAAGGTGAGTTACTGATGGGCCAGTTTAAATAATCCAGCACAGAGATGGGCAGAAAGTAGATCTCCAGATGTTGTGGAGTTCCCAGCATTCCTCATGCTTGGCCATGCAGCAGGGTCTAAGACATCTCGAGCTGTACCTTCTTGCTGCCCATGATCTAACTGGCATCTAGGAAATACATGAATCCCAAAATCTTTACCAGCCCGCCTTAGATAGTGTCCCTGAAGTGTATCAGAACTTTCATTGGAGAAAATTCACCTGTTTCTACACAAGCATTTCTACTGAATTTAAACATTTTCCCTGAATTAAGATTTATGCTGGATTAACTGTATTGGTCGTTCTTGGTTCTTCCTTCTTAGAGCAGCCCTGCCCAGCTTCTTTAAATGCTGCACAGTGGCTTAGGAGACCGGAGAGAATGTGGGGATCCCCAAAATTTAGTTAGGGATCCCTAAATATCAGGCTGAGGGACTTTATACCAACTGACAGATTCTGAATCCAACCCTTAAGGAACCAGAAAACAAGATTTATCAGAATGCTGTACTGGCACTTACATTATAGTAGCACTGGAGATTCTGAAAGTGGAAAGCTAATCTGAAAGTTATCTTGATTTCCTAGCCTGCAAGTAGGACACAAGTGGTAAATTTTCAAACCAAATCTGTATTTGCAAGCCTTCCCACTACTTAAAAAATAAAGCTATCCACTGAGCTTACTCTGTATTGTTTCTCTAGTTCTGCCAATCTCTGAAGGGACTGGGGAGGGAGATGTAGAGGAGGGGGTGGGGGAGACTGCTGTTCTTTCCTTATGTGAACCAGAACTGAGGCATCAATTTGAAAATAATGGATCTTTCATCTGTCTACTCCATCACCTCCTCTGGAACCAGCATGCAGCTAATTAATCATTCTAAAGGGACAGGGTACAGGATAGTAAACAGGTGAGAAATTAATGTAAGTAACCCGTGAAGAGGTAACAATGGGTAGAGGAGAATGCAGTTAGCACTTGCTGTTTCCCTATCTTTTGCTTAATTTGGCTTTCACTCAAAATTTCATAACATCTTTCATGGCATGGCTTAAAAGAAATCCAGAATCAAATGCAGTTTTTGGAGACTGGGTGGGTTACAGCAAAGCAACCCCCCATCCCATACCAGTCAACTTTTAAACTTGGAGTTGAGGTCAATCTGTTCATGAAATGCAATAAAATGTGCATTGTACATTATAGCAACAACCTGAACATCATTCAGGGTCCCAGTCATGGGCTTCTATTCCCCAGCTTCCGCCAAATAGTGCTTGGTTCTTCATAGCCAGTTCAGGGTGTGTAGTTGGTTGCTGTAGATCTGACTGAAGAGAATTCACTATTTTCCAAAGAACTATTGCCAGCTGCAACGTCTAAAGTTTTTCCAAAATTGTAGCCCCGATGAGTTAGAGGCTTGTTTTGATGTTTCTAACAGCAGTAATTCTTTCAGGTTTTAATGTTAACACTACAAAATGATCCCCCGTCGCTGGAGACAGGTGTGCAAGATAAGGAGATGCTTAAAAAGTATGGCAAGTCATTTAGGAAGATGATTTCGTTATGCCTGCAAAAAGACCCCGAGAAAAGGTACAAGGCAGTTCTTCTTGCTTCTGGCCAAATTGGAATAGCACTGTCTGAGGGAAGTGTATTGCTGGAGTGGGGGAGAGAGGCTGAAGAAAAGTTGCTGCTGCAAGATTGATCAGCAGAAGGTTAAAGGCAGACAATAAACAGAGCATGGTCAGCCTGTGGAGCCCCTTGCCGCAAGATTTCAGAGAGGCTGCTCGGATAGATTCCCTCCAGTAATGATGTTTAAAAGTCACTTGGCCCAGGACAAGCAATTTGAGAGTTTCTGTTCTGCTGTTGCTGTGTGAATTGACATGTATGCATCTGAAGCAGACACCAATCTCTACTGTGATCCAAGTAGCTCTCTTCCAGCAGAGATGGCACAAGCCATTTAATGAGGGCTACAGCATACTTGGCTTTGGTGGGATAATGGACAATTTTCTGACTCTGTTAGTGTTCTCTTTAATGACTTTTCTCCCCTATCCTCACCCCATTTTCTCTTTTCTCATAGACCAACAGCAGCCGAACTTCTAAGACACAAATTCTTTCAGAAAGCAAAGGTAGGATTATAGATAGATGCATACACATGTCACTGAAATTTGGAGCAATTTACTCATAGGCAAAGAATGAGCTATGCATTATTGGAATGATTCCTCCCAAAGTTTTATTCACCAATGGAATTTTGTCTGTTTGCGGTCCATTAAACTTTGCTGGGTACAGAATTCTTTGATGATGAAACTGCTGAACTGAAGGTTAGATTTGGCTAGATTTTGGTTGTTTTGAATTGAGAATGGTTAAACATCCAAGGCAATTTACACTTAAAACCACTAAATCAAAACAGTATCAATATTAAAACCACTTAAAAGGCACAGAGGAATGGAGAAGACTTTTCTCTTAAAGGCTGGCAAGTAATGAGTTAATCTTGGCCTCCCTGGGAAGCAGATTCCAACCTAGTCGTGCCATGAAGAAGGTTCTGTCATGAGCACTCCAGGTTTCACTTCACCCTCAGCAGCAAGACTTCCAGCAGTTTGCAAAGAGCTAGGAGGTTCATTTCAGAGCAAATCCTTGTGGGCTTAGACTGCTTAGGGCTTTAAACCTCAAAACCAAGACCTTGAATTAGCCCTCGTAGCAGTCAGGAAGGCAGGGGAGATTAGCTAACATAGGCTGCATTCCCTGTTAATAAAGGAACTACTACAATTTGTGCTAGTTGTAGCTTTCGTTCCATCTTTGAGCACATTATGGTATGATATGGGAGATTACCCAGGCATAAAGAAAGTGACCGGATTGTATTTCTCAAAGATGAGAATACAGGCTGTAGTCCAGCTACTCCTTGAATGGAGCAATTCCAGACTCTTTGCAGACCCAGCAGGATCTGGTTGACTCACTTCACTAGGCCGGGCCACATGAATATATCTGTCTTGTAGCGATTCACCTTTTCTTTCCTCCCTTTCAAGAAAGCTACTGCTCCTGGATTTGGAGAAAAAAAACCAAAGCAGTGTCCTCTTTATATTTTAATCATTGCTTAATCAAACCAATGCATACTGCTTCTCAGTAGTGGCATATAGATATTAAAGTGTTTTGGTGGAAAGGTGAAATGTTGCAATTCTCTGCCTCTTTTCCAGGGAGTGGCATAGCGATGGACTAGTGCTGTTCTTAGGAAGATGCTAATATGTTTGTTTCCTAAGATGTGTATCAAAGGCCTTTGTGATTCTATTTCAAGCCACTAGAGATCTGTTTTGATATTCCCACCCCTGCCCCAGAAATACTCTTGCCAAGAAATACTTCTTGAGCCAAAACAATGGCCTTTTGAAGAACAGGAGACAGAAGATGATTTGAATTGTTTTCTTTCATTTCCAGAATAAAGAATTTTTACAAGAAAAAATGCTGCAGAGAGCCCCAACCATCACGGAAAGAGCCAAAAAGGTACTAGTAGTAGTGGGAATACATAAACTTTGCAACCCTGTGTTCAAACACACAGTTAAATTGTCCTAACTGTAGGAATCACCCAGAGCCATTTCACGTAATAATGTTCTTAGGCTGCCTCTCTGTGCCATCTAGGCCCAGGGCTGTGTGAGCGTCTCCAGATGTGAAGGGGGGTAATTAAGATTGCTTCTCCATGTGCTCTTGTGGGCCTCGCTCAGCATGGAGACCATAAGCTTAAGCAGGTGATATTCCTTGAAGATCCATGATGGAACATGATATTGGAGGCAGATACTTACATGTATTTCAGACTGCTTAGGGCTTGTTGGTAGTCACCAACACCTTGAATTGACCCCAGAAAACAATTGGGAAGCAGGGACACTTGGGGTCAGAAGACCTGAGTGGGCCTCTTCTCTGTTTTGGTCCGCTACTAAACACACGCCTAGCCTCCCTGCTTACCCTGTTGTCAGCTCTAATGCAGTGCTAGTTGGCAGCCCTTGTTTACTCACTTAGCTTTAAACTGGTTAATTCAGTGTTCAAATCACCGAATTTGCAACAAAAAGCCCTCCTTGAATGATTTATTACCAATTTACAGTATCACACAGGAACTGAAATAGCCTCAAAAATAATTTTGTGTGCCTTTTAACACGCAGCCTTGTTGAATAATTAGTTGAAGGAAAACTCTGCACCAAAATGTACAAAGCAGTGCATGGAAAAGGTTCTCAGTTTTCATGCTTTATTTTAAATATTTTGAGTTTGTAGACTTTTGGAATTAATCCCCATTTGCCCACTGCAGCCCTGCAGTGTGGTTTGGAAGAATGAAAAATAAAGAAAAACGAATAATGAGGGGGATATATGCTTATGGGAGGTTGGATGCAAGTCAACCGTATGACTGCACCATTCTGGACCAGCTGAAGTTTGAAGAGCTTTTGAAGGCAGCATGTAGAATGTGTTACCGAACTCCAAACGGGTCATGACTAAGGCATGTGTGACCGGCCAGATCAGATGTTAGTGGATGCAGTCAGCATACTAGTTTCAACTGTGCAGATACTCTTGGCCTCCCTTCTGATAAAAGCTGAGCGTGGTGCAGGTCTTTGCATCCATATTGACTGCATGTTTGAAACAAATTTCTGCAGCCATGTCAGATGCTTAGTTTGAACAATTTTAAACAGTGATCCTCTTCAGAAGACTGAGTAGTTGCTAGTTTTCCTGCAAGGCACCGGAGCCTGTGCAAAATGCCCTCTGTACCAAGGTAAACATGTTTTGGTTTGTTTCTCGTAAGGCTGCAATCCTCTCTACTTTTTCCTGAAATAAAACCTCACAGAAGAAATAGTGGGTCTTCCAGCAACACACGATTGGGATTGCATGGTCATTTAATTTTGGATTATTTGCATTTAGGTCCGGAGAGTTCCTGGCTCCAGTGGACGTCTTCATAAAACAGAAGATGGCGGCTGGGAGTGGAGTGATGATGAGCTAGATGAAGAGAGTGAGGAAGGCAAAGCAGCAATTTCACAGCTCAGGGTGGGCAACAGCTTTAACCACTTGTCTTTTTAAAGATTAGCCTGAAATTGAAAGGAGTACTTCATTGTGAAAACCACTTCAGGGTGCAGTCCCTGAGTTTGAAAGAGCATTTCTGAGAAATAATGTGGGAAAGCAGATGTCGTGAGCTGTGTTTCTCCCTCTGACCAGCAGGAATAGGGAATAGATTCATCCTCCAAATCTGCATCATTAAAAATAGCACAGTCAGCCTTCTGTGAGCGTGCTGGAGGTTTGACAGTATGCCCATGCACACGACAGCCGAGGAGAATGTTCCTTATGAAGACACTCGCTTGCAACCGTTTTTGATGTAGAATTCCATTCTGAGCTCCTCCACGTGTTTTTGACACTGGTGTTCCTCTGTCTGATTTATTTATTTTATTTATTTATTAAGACATTTTTCTGCCGCCCCATTCGCCGAAGCCTCGGGGCGGCTTACAACACATAAATAAAAATTAAAATATATATATTAGAATAATAATAATTTTATACACACACACACACACACACACACACACACACACACACAATATAATACAATATACAATATAAAATAAGCTGCCCTGGCCAGATAAAATTCAATAGTATTACCATTTAAAATGCTGCTTAAATAAAAAGGTCTTTGCCTGGCGCCGAAAAACAAATAACGACAGCGCCAGGCAGACCTCTCTGGGGAGCACATTCCATAACTTAGGCGCCACCGCTGAGAAAGCCCTCCTCCGAGTACCCACCCTCCTAATATCTTTCACAGAGGGCTCCCGGAGAAGGGCCTCTCCCGCAGATCTCAGGGGGTGGCTGGGCATATATGGATGCAAGCGCTCCTTCAGGTAACCAGGACCCAAGCCGTTTAGGTGATGTGCATCCTGCTATTCCTCCCAGAAGTTAATGGCCGATGCACTTCGGCTGGTCCCTTCATACCCATTCCTCACAAGTTCGGTTACTTAGAGGTGGTGCCTAGCTCAACGTCAACAGTTAATTTTTGTAAGCGATTGTTTTTTGTACTTCGCCTTATACTTGTGCTAGTCATAGTTGCACGGTTTGCTTTGGGAATGCTGATGGTATTCCCAAAACAAACAGATAAAGTGCAGGTCCCCTGTGTACTGGAAGTACTCTTGCCTAGGCTCCCCGATGCTCACTGTGGGAAGCCGTAATAGGTATGCTTGCTGCATCTTCTTGAGCCGGCTCTGTGGTGGGCTGTATTTCCAACCACTTGAGCGTTGTGTGCGGGCTAATATGCTTCCCTGCCCCTTCTTCAGGTAAGCTTTCTGGAGCTCTGTGGTCCACACAATCCTTTAGGGATCCAGAAGGCACTGTGAACACTGATGACTGGTCCTCATCTGCCTGCTTTGACTGGATGCCTTGCTTGCCCACCTGGCTACTGACTGCTCAGAACACAACCGATGCTTATGGTTCTGATCCATCCATAGCATTGAAATTATGCCTCCCTCCAACCTTTGTGCTCAAGGTTTCTATGTGCGGGGTGAGGGATGTGTGAATACTTTTGGCTAAAACATGAATAGGGCTTGCTGGGAGTTGAGACCTTTTCCATCTAAACATTTATTTATTTACATGTATTTATAGGCCACCTGTAATTGCCAAGGCCTTCCTAGGCGGCTTACAATGCATAAGAAATATTAACTGAGTAAAAACACATTAAAAACCAATTAAAACATAATGAATTAAGCATCTATAAAAACAATTAAAAAGGGCCACAGAATGCAGGCTAAATGTTAAAAAATTTCCTAAAAAGACACAATCCTAAACATGCGTAGGATTGCGCCCCAACCCAGTTGCATGGTAGCTTTGGAACCTTCAAAAGGCAGCTGAATCTCTTTCGAAAGGGAGCTTGTTCTCTGTACAGTATTCATAGACAGAGCCAACATATTGCTTACTTGGTAGTATCTCAAGCATGCCAACAAAAGGTATTATTAATTATTCAAAACAAATAGCAGGTCAGTTTCTTCTGCCTGCTCCCATGGCAACCTTCACTTCACATCCTTTCATCTGATCTCCATGGTTTAAACTTTTTTGTGTCAGGAAACTACTACTATTATACCTCATTAACTTTTGAAAGAACAATTCCAACTATGGAATACGCTCCCCAGAGAGGTTCGCCTGTTGCCGACGTTATATTCTTTTCATTGTCAGGCAAAACCCTTTTTATTTTCCCATCATTTTAATGTTTAATTGATTTTAACTGGGGTTTTAGTATTTCATTTGTTAGATGCTGTGGTGTTTTGTTTTATTCTACTCATTTTTTATTGTAAGCCATCCTGAGATGCAAGTTTGGGAGTAGACTTTTGCTGAGGAAATGTGTGATTCCCATTTCCCTGTTCCTGACACTCACAACAAAATGCAATGTATATAAAAATGTAATTTTTAACATGTTTTCTAACATGAGTTTTGTTCTGGCATTTCATGGTAATCACCACTACTCATTTTCCTCTTTTAGTCTCCCAGAGTGAAAGAATCATTGCAGAATTCTGAGGTAAGTTGTTAATCAAGCACTATACATTATAATACTCCATGTAGGGGGTTTTGTTTTTATGTTTTGGAAGGTGCCAAGATCATTATGGGTACTCAACAATAAGGCAACATATTTTGTAAAAATTAACTGGCATAACAGCTTTGGGCTAGCGTTTGAATTATTTTTAAAAAAATATTTAATTGTAACCAAGTATTGCAAATCAATTTAATAGTAGTTAGCAAGTTGATTTTCACAATCAGTGTAAATAGTGTTGACTTATACTTTGAATACCGCTGATTTTAAAGAAGCAGTTTTTAAAATAGTAGACTTAGTATCAACACAAAATAATTACTAAGTGGTAGTTCTTGTACTAGTACATGCAAACCAGTGATGACATGAGCAGAGGTCATGTTGGATTAGTCCAAGGGCCTTTCCAGTCCGGTATTCCTTTCACACAGGGGCCCAGGGAAGCCCACAAGTAGCAATCCGCAGGTGCCCCGTCTGCTCACCTTCCCCACCAGCTGGTACTGAGGCACGCTGCGTCTGAAACTAGAAGTAGCATAAGGCCATCAGGAGCAGTAGCCACTGAGAGCTTTCTCCAGGAATTTTTCCAGTCCCCATCTAAAGCTGTTCAAATTGGTAGCCACAAGTACATCTTTAAGTAGCAGATTCACTGAGTGAAGAAGTTTGTCCTTTTATCTGTCCTGACTCTCCTTCCAAGCGGTTTCAGGGAGTGACCAGATTGAGTTCTACTAGAAAGGGGCAGGGGATTATCCCCCCGCCCACCTGCTCAATGCTATGCATACTTTTATATAGCTCTGTCTTGAACAAATCTCCAGCAGCAATTACAATATTTTTGAACCAAGGTTTGTAACAAGCCATCTAGCACTGAATGAGGCCAATAATTTGGTGGGCTGCTTAGCTCAGTCAGTTAGAGCTTGGTGCTCAATAGTGCCAAGGCTGCAGTTTCGATCCCAGTGCAGCCCTCATAGTTCTCGGAGAGCCAGTGTGGTGTAGTGGTTAAGAGCACAGATCTGGGATTCGGGCAGTCTGGGTTCTAGTCGCTGGTCAGCCATGGAGCCAGCTGGATGACTTTGGGTCAGGTCACAGACTCTCCACCCAACCTACCTCACAGGGTTGTTGTGGAGATAAGATGGGATTGAGAGCAGGAGAAGGAGCATGATGTAAGCCACCTTAAGTTCTTTGGAAGGAAAAAAGATAGGAAATAAAGTAAACAAGTTAAAAAATTTGTTTGGCGTGGGCCCTGTCTAGGACACAAGGCAAGGGAAGAAGTCAGGAGATATCATGGAGGGAGGATGAATATTGACTGCTTCTCCTGGATAATGGGTCTGGATCTTGCCGTGGTAAGTCTAGCAAACCTTGTGAGATTTTGGATGAAGGCAGGGAGCATTTCCAACAGGGCTCGGCAGCTATTAAAAAGTCCAGAGCAGAATGTAAGAAGGGCCATGCTGGATCAGGCCAAAGGCCTGTGTAATCTGTTATATTTCTATCCTGCCTTTCCTCCAGGGAATCCAGGGTGGCAAAAACTATCCTCCTCCTCTTTCCCATTTTATGGTCACAACAGTCCTGTGAGGTAGTTTAGACTGGGAGCTGGTGACTGGCCCAAAGCCGTCCAGGGAGCTTCAGTTGCCAGGTGCGGACTAGAATCCAGGGTTCCCATCCAACACTCTAGCTGCTACACCAGACTAGCATTCTGCTCACACAGCAGCCAACCAGCTGCATATGGGAAAAGGCCAGGAAAGAGAGGTCCCTGACACCGATGCTAACAGGAGAATGAGGAGGAAGAAGCAGGTAAGGAGAGCCTCTGAGTGATCGCTTTTGCCACATAGCAACTCAAACAGAAATAAGTCAATAATAAATCGAACTGATTTGACAATGCTGAATGCATTAGTTGCCTGTGAGGGGGTTTACTTATTTTATTAAATACCTCTCGTTTCCTGCAAGGGTCCCCTGTTAGCTTACACAATCCTCTCCATTTTATCCTTATATAACCACCCTGTGAGTTAGGGTAAGCTTAGACTGGCTCAAAGACCCTCATTGAGATTCATGGCTGGGTGGGACTAGAACTCAGACCTCAGGCCAACACTAGCCACTGTGTTTTGAGGTGACACTCCCCCTGGCAGTGCTGGAGTGCTGAGAATCATAAACATATATTCCTCCTTTAGCAGAAACGCTTTGCCAAAATTCTTGGCAAGTGGGTTTCAAGCAGTCAACATCAGACCACCTTCCTTTCCCCTAAACTCACATTTTTAAAAAGTTTATTCTTTCAACGTTTAGCTCTTTCCATCCGCTGAGCCCACCGGCCCTTTGCTCAACGTCCCGGCCCAGCCTCCTGCTCAACTACCTCAGCCTGTGGGACAAGCACCTGCACAACCTTCTCCAGCTGTCCCCACTCCAGCTCCTCCAGCACCGGCAGCAGCTCCTCCAGCAGCAGCACAGGTAAGGCCAGCTGCTTCTGCAGAAGACATACTGGATTTCTAAGCCAAAAGGAAGCAGAAGTCACCGTAAAACATCTGCGGGACATTGAAATCTTCTCTGGCTGTGTGCAGCTGGATTTTGTTTGACACATGAGAGCCTGAATCAGACGGAGGGTGTGGGAGGAGTCATGGCTTAGTGGGGGAGCATCCCACTTTCAGTCCCTGGCTTCTCCACGTAGTCCTGGAAACACACCTGCCTGAAACCCTGGCGAGCTGCTGCCCCCTGTCCGTGTGGACAGTTCCGGGCTGGATAGAGTAATGGTCTGGATTGACAGGGACATGCTCCGTAAGGCAGGTCTCCTGTGTTCCTGTGTGAACCGTGCATGCTTTGCTTTTTTCACCTCATTCCCATGAGCATCCCAGAATGCTTCTTTTGGCAGAATCCTCCAGGATGCGACTGAAAATGAGTAATATGTGAGGGAGCTGGGAGACTTTCCTAGACTCGCTGTTGTGGCGAAGTTGAACCACATGTGGTGTTTCTCTTTCCTCTTTTTGTTTCGCGTGTGTGAATCTAATGTGCCTGGGCAGGACACATGGGCAGAGGCCGCTTGTCCCTTTCCCCTCCTGTCAGCTAATGATCACACTTCCCAGACTTTTCACAATATGGAGCTGTGCTTTCTCCTTTCTTCTGTTCAGAGTTGCTGGGGGTAGGAGAGTAACTGCAGCTCAGTGCCAGACCATTTGCGTTGCTTGCGAAAGATGCCAGGCTCCGTCCCTGGTATCACTGAGTAACACTGGTGTGGATGTGCAGGCCCCCTCTTTCCGTGAGGCTGAGGTTTGCTGACTGCCACATAGTCTACCGTTCTCCTGAGAGCCTCCCCATCTGTGAGGCAGGCTTGATATTAACTGGTGTGAACTGTAGAATTATTTTGCGAAGTACTGAAATCCTTGATCTGAAGCACTGTTCCCCCTTCCAGTCCCCCACTCTAGGTAATTAATTCTCTACTTTACACGGCTTGGAGTCTGGGGAAGGTATTGATCCTACAGACATTTTGGCCTACACTGCCCAGGATCCCTTACCCTTGGCCCTGCTGGCTAGGGCTGATGGGAATCATAGGCCAAAACTTCCGAAAGGCCACAAGTTGCTCACCCTTGGCTTAACGCAAGGCCGGCCTTTTACAGGGGGCGAGGAAAGACAAGTAACTTAGGCTTCTCATGCAGAGTGAATGCCTGCCAAAGTCAACCTATACTTGAGACCTCTTGGAGTGTGTCTTGCAGTCGTGCCAGCCTGTGCCAGCCTTAAGGCTGCTGAACCACAATGACTGTAATATGTAAAGAGATGACTGGCTGTTCTCGTAGGTGGGGTGAGGTCTGCAATATTGGGAAGGAGTGAAGAAGCTTTCTCCTTCCATGCTTCTAACAGGCCTGCTGGGAATCATTTGGCAGCACTTGTGGCTAGAACAACATTTGAGGGCTCCAGCTTTTTCCTAGAAACATTTTCATGGTTTTTGGAGCTGAGCTATATATAAACTCATTGAGCTCACTGGGTTCCTTTCCCTTCCTGACAGCGTATTAATCTTAGAAGACAAACCTTGGCATCTGCTCTTCTTGGATTCCAGTTGGCTAAAATTAAATAGTACTTGGTTGGTTGGCTCCGGGTCTGTAGATGTTCTCTGTGCGCAGGTCCAGTGACAGAAGGCTTGAGGACCGAGTCTCTGTTTTGAAACAAGCCCTGCCTGTCTGTGTAGCTCCCCAACAGCTGTAAGATATGGCAGCTGTAGTCTCATTGACGTCAGCAGAGAACTACGCAGATCTGGGGAGCACACCCTCAGGGACCTGATAAGTTTATCCCCACTATGACCCATGGCAGGAAGGCCAATCTAAAGCTGCCTCTGCCCCTTCTTTGCATATCATATGGAAAGGCACCAGTTCTAACCTTGTAGGTGCCTCTCCCACTGAGGAATGTGTTCCCCTCGGGCTTCTGGGGCACTTTTGGAAGGAGTAGCGACTGCATTTTTCAGATACAGTTAGCTGCTTTATACATCAGGTCAGAATATTAGTTCCCGGTGCTGCCTGCAGTCTGCTCCGCCTGGCAATGACTCTGCAGAGTCTCAGGCTGAAGACTTTCCTATCATCAAATCCCTTGAACTGGAGATGCCAGGATTGCAACTGGCACATTTTCGCCACTGGGCTGTTGCCCCTTTTGCTTAAAGACACTGGGTACAGGAGCCATGCATCTTTCTTTCTATCTATCTATCTATCTATCTATCTATCTATCTATCTATCTATCTATCTATTTAAACATTTTTATGCTGCCCCCTTCGCCGAAGCCTCTTTAGAAAGGACAGTCTGCTCTCTGAACTGCTGTCAGAGGACTGTCTTCTAGACCAGGGGTCTCAAACTCAACTGACCTGGGGGCCGCTGGAAGTAGAGTCTGGGTGAGGCTGGGCCGCATCAGGTATTCCACCACCGCAGTGGCGGTGGGCCGCTCATCCCGCTGTGCTTTGAAGGCCGCAGGGCCCCTCCCCTGTGCCCCACCCATCCCAGCAATTGGCCCGCAGGCCGCGAGTTTGAGACCCCTGTTCTAGATGATGGATCTATAAAATATAGCATGAGAAATGGTTTAGCAAAGAGGACACTTTAAGGGAAAAAGTGCCTTGAGAGAAAAAGACTGAGGGAGCAATCTAATATAACTCCCGCACGGTGTCTAAAAGGCCACGGAGTTCCCAGCTCCGAGGCCAGACACAGCACCCCATCCTTAGAGCAGGGAACTGGTTCCTTCTCTCTCCCTCTTGCAGCCAGCACAGAAAGAACTGGGCTGGCTTCTCTCTGAGGTCGAAAAGCGACCTCAGAGTATGCGGTACAGGGATGCTTGGGTGGGAGGGGGAAGGTGAGAGAGACCAGGGTGCAAGCTATCCTGAGGCTTCTCCAGCCTCTTTCTCTTCCCTTCTGAAATGCCCTGGCCAGGCAGATAGAAACGCCCATCTAGCCAAATGGGCAGGGTGGGGGGACGTGGAGACCTCTCCTCCCCCTCTGCATGGGATGACTGCTTTCCTCAGACTCCAGGGGCTTTTGATTATCAAGGGCACAGTCCTTCCACAGTGAAGTCATGGCCTGCGAAGCAGGGATGACTAGAACAATCCCAATGGAATCATGCAGCTGGCTGTCTTGGAGCACAGAAGCAGGGATAGTTAGCAGGGAGCATCTCCTAAATATTCTTTCAGATACTGCTGATCAATTAACCATGGAGCAAAATCCATCCGTCCCCTTAGGCTTGCCTTGGTGCCACTCTGTGTATTTTGCTTTATGACTCTTGAATGGTCAGATTTATCATCCTCTGTTTGTTTCTTCTACAGTTTGAGACTACAAAACTGCCTCGCAGAGTTCCTCTTTCACTGATAAAAATTGCCCCTTCTTTTTCTATAAGGCACCTCCTGCCCCTGCAGCAGCCCCTGTGCAAGAGGAACCGAAGGTCCCCATCAGCCTCGTTCTAAGGTTAAGGTAAGGTGATCACATCAGCAGACAAATGTCACCCAGGTTTAACTGCTGGGCTGTTATTGGATGCTAGTGTTGGCTTGAAAGGCTGTGTGTAAGAATATATGAGTTCAAAGACCCAAACGCAAGCACGAGCACCCGTCTGCTGAGAACGTTCACATTGTTGGACTTAGCCTAATGCTCAACTGGTTCAGTTTTGTGCGGATTTTCCCCTGCAGGCTGAGAGCCACACTTCTGTCTGTGGAGGAAAGAAGAGCCCCTGTCCATCCATCCCAGCATTCTCACAGTGACCAAATAGCTGCCCGCAGGAAACCCACAAGCAAGACATGGGCGCAACAGCACTCTCCCATCCGTATTCCCCAGCATACAAGCGTACTGCTTCTGGTACCTAGTCCTCCGGACTAGCAGGCATTGATAGCCTGATCTTCCATGAATGTGCCCAGTTCCCTTTTAAAGTCATTCAGAGTGGTGGCCGTTACTGGACAGGTAGAAGTGAATACCATAGGTTACCTATGCACTGTGTGAAGAAGAAGTTCTCCCTTTATCAGTCCCAGATCTCCAAGCACTCATCTTCATGGCATTGCTCCGACCCCTTGGTCATGTTGCTCGCCCTTTTCTGTACTTTTTCCCACTTCTACAATATCTTTTTTAGGTGCCAGCAAAATGTGCTGAACTGTGCACAACATCCTAAGTGCTGTTGCATCATAGATTTGTAAAAGACAGAATTTGGGGGGAATTGTGCAAGTTGCATGTTCAGTTGCTGCTTGATTTGTGCCGCTTTCATGTTGGCACAGAGCAGGCAGTGATTGGGCACAGAGCAAGTGGTGAGACAACATTTGGAAGATGCAGGTGATCTCGAACATCGTTTGTTCACCCGTCCCTGCCTGTGGGTGGTCCAGCAACTGGAATTCGGAAGCAAGCTGGCTGGTTCAAAACCTCATGAATTTTCTGTGGCAACACTGCTACACTACTCAGCTGTGAATTCAGAATAGTAACAGTAAGGACCCATCTTGGAGCTCCTTGTCATTCCTCTAGTAACTGATAAGGGGAAACTCCACATAATGCATGGAAGCTTTTCATTCTGAAACAAAATAACCTTCCCAAGACACTGCACCAAGAACTTCCTGCAGTTCTGCGATTCTATTTAATTCACATTTGACATGTGACCATCTTTTGGGGGTTGACAAAACATCCAGGTTGAATTTTTGTGTCTGGGCTTTTATACCAGAGTGAGGTTTCTTCAGAATATTTAATAATGCTTCCCCCTGTTTGGGCTTCACTTGTTGGATTCCAAGTGCTGTCATCCCCAGCCAACAGCATGGCCATTGTTGGTTCTGGATGGGGTGTAATGGGAGTTGTAGTCCAACACACCTGCGGGTCCCAAAGTTGGGGAAAGATGATCTGTTCCGCATTGGGAAGTTTAACTAAATTTTAATTTTAACTACAGTTTTATAACCCAATCATGCTGCCTTTGTGGTGTTTAACTTAAAGCAAAAAGAACATGAGGAACTGTAGAATACAGCTGAACCAAGAGAAAGTGGGGGGTGCTTCCCACAGATACTTCCACTCCTTGCAAGACATATTCCCAAAAGGGTTTTTTGGGGGCCGAGGGGATGCAGGCAGAAGTGCCAGTATGTATTGCCGGCACTCACTCAGACCGTAGGCCGTGCTTCCTGACCTCACTTTGTAGAACTGCCACATACGCATGCCTGGCTTGGCAGCAGTGAAATGTCATAATGCCGATATGCAGTCATTAATTGGCTGCGATAGTATAGGAAGAATGAAAGGTTTCTGGCAGAAAACAGACTGCAAAGAGCAATGGAAAATATAAGGAGATGAAGAGACGCTTCCCCCACCCATTCAGTTTGATTCAAATATTCACACGTTCCTCCTAGCCCTGTCACCCAATAGGACATCACCCCGTTGTTCCTAATTAAGACAGCGCTCTTTGTGGAGGCCTTTGAAGATCTCCCTGGTCATCCAGGAGCCTGATGGGTTTTTCCAGATGCCTTTTTTCTTTCTTCTTGGCCAAGTCTTTTTATTGTATTTCAATGTATTTCTAATGTATACTAATGCTATTTTAATTAATTTTAAAACATTTTGAATATTGTTTTATGTACTGTATCATACTGTATTGTTTTATATCCTGTCGTGAGCTGCCCAGAGAGCTTCGGCTATGGATGGTATAGAAATGTAATAAATAATAACAACAACAACAATTCCCCTGTTGCTTCCCTGCTGTTTAGTTTCTAAGCCTTTGCCAGGCATGTTTATGTTTCTGTATTTTCTCTACCACTAAGTGTGGACTGGAGACTTAATTCTCAGCTTGTCAAAGCTTACAGCACAAACAACATCCTACATATTTGTTTTTCAGCCATATTACCACTCAGCTAAATATGCAGTCTCTGGCTTTGGCCTGCTGATGAAGAAACAGAGTTTGTGAATTGTTCAGGGCATTCTAAGATCACAGCCAAGTGACTACAGAATCAACAGCTCCCTTTTCAGACTAAGTTTGGCCTGCTCTTCTGCGTCCTGATAATTATTGAGTAACTTGCTTTGATGATGCTTCAATCCTGAGACAATCCTCTTTTATATTAGGCATCACGGTATGCTTGGGACATCTTGCCATCCAAACTGAGCCACTCCTTAGCCACAGACCACATGTAATGCTATCTATAACTTTTTCAAAGGACTTTAAAAGCTGTGTTCATTCTTAGACATAATATTTAATTTCCCTACAAAAATGTACACATGCATAGTTGCATATAGAATCCAAATCAAAGTATAAATAATTTCCTACTTTTTCTAATGAAATTTATATTTTCTTTTATGAACAAAACCTACGGCAGAGCTTTTATCCTGGTTGATTGTAGTTTGTTATCCGATCGCTACGGCTGGTTTAAATTAGTTTGGGGCTGCATCCAGTCTGCTGGCTCTCCATCGTTATTGTACAGTGTAAGAAGAAAAGAGGATTAGCTTTTCTACTGCTGCTTTTAACTGGTGCTTTTCTGGTAGAATCTAACTGCCTTTTTTCTCCACTCTTAACAGGAATTCAAAAAAAGAACTCAATGACATTCGATTTGAATTCACCCCCGGAAGAGGTGAGGGTGGCTGTGGCTGATGGGAACATCCTGGGTGGTGGCAGGAAAACCCCACCACAGATGTGCTGCTAATGTTGCTGTCTCTGTGTGGTTTGAATAGCTGAGGGAGGGACACATCCAGAGCACATGCAGAACGCTACAATTGAACCTGTGAATATGGGATTGGTGTGCCCACAGCTATTCGTCAAAAGGATGGAAGCTCCTTTTCCATGTTAGGAGTAGAAGAGACATTCCATTCACCTGCAGTATACTGGTAGCAGATTGTTTGGTTTAGCAGAGAGAACGAAAGCTAGAATTTTGATTAGAGAATTTTGATTGCAAGGCAGGCTGATTTCTTTATGGGTGGTGGACTGCCAGGATAAGTTAACCTTTACCAGGATATAGGAATCAGAACTATAATTGGTGTGAGTTTCCCAGTTCCATATTTCTGCAATTACCATGTTTTCAGAAACATGCTGAAGGAAAAATACTCAAAGCTCCCCCACACCTCTATTTCCGGACACAGTTTATTCAAGGTAGCTGATGATACATATATATAGAAATATAATAATTATAATTCATAATTATGCTGTGGTTACTACCTGCGGATTTGAAAATCTGAATTGCTTTAGACAAGTTGTATGTGAATGTTTCTAAATTATGATTCTTCCAGATACTGCTGACGGGGTATCCCAAGAACTCATCTCAGCTGGGCTTGTGGATGGTAGAGACTTGGTAATAGGTAACAATGCATGCTGCAGAATTTCAGTTTCCCCTTAATCCTGCACTGGGCTTGTGTGTACCACTTGCCGTACTTCTTCTGAGAACATGGAAGAATTAACTTGTCCTTCCTTGTACTAGTACATCCCTGTGGAATATTTTTGGGGAAACTTATTCATAAATGCATATGGTAAAGCATAACATCTTTGAATGTCTCTATCCTTTGTGTCGTTTCAGTTGCCGCCAACCTACAAAAAATTGTGGAAGAGCCCCAGATGAATAGATCTGTCACTTTCAAACTGGTATTTATTATTTTTGCCCTTATTAATCCAGTATATGCAAGAGAATGTTTCTGCTCTGGGCTTCCTTAGGGCACTGGGGATGCTTACTGCAAACTTAACTCTGACTGGGGGAACAATGTGAAGGCCTGGTGCAAAGTCCACTCTGTTTTCTAACTCAACATCCAGGGCTGGCCTCTTATTGGAAGATGATGGTAATTGACCGGTTCACACATCCTTTATCTTTTGGGACTTTGGTCCAATTTCCACACTAGATGACTCAGCTTTCGCAACAAGCTTGAAAAGTTTACTAAATGGTATTCTTGGTGATCTGTACACTTGCATTTTTAATGTTACATTCTTCTTGAGTTTATTCGTACACTTGTTGCTTAGCAAGTACTTGGGAGCCTTGTGGTTTGACCCCTTTGCCTTATTTGGATTCCATTGTGGAGATGAGATTACAGGATTTCTGCCCTGTATCTTTTCTTCCATGTTCTGAGGTTCTTGTTTTAGAGGCTTTGACAAGTAATGTTAAAAGGCCATTGCATTCAGAGAGAGAGAGGATTTAATATGAGCCAAATCCTGTGATGAAAGCCAGCCTTTCCTTGGTTAAAACATTTTGGTTAGATAATGGTTCTTTCTTTGTTTTTCCTCCATTGGCCTCTCACTCAGCTATCTGTTTTAGCATCAAGTCATTCAATTCAATTGACTTTTTATCATCTTGGATGTTCCTTTTATGCTGTAGTTTCAACCAAAGACAGCTCTGCAACCAGGCTTAGGGAATGAGTGTCATCTATCCAGTTTTCACGGGATTGCCCTTTAAGATCCAAAAGCTTAGACTAAGTTTATGATGGTCTCTGAACGAGTAGAGATTTTTTGCAGCCATTACAACCCCCCCCCCCCATTTTCTCTTCCTTCCTAATTGTGCAAAATTGTGTGATTTTTGGATTGACTTCTCTGACCTGGTGGACTGCTCTCAAAATTAGGCAAAACACTTCAGTCTCAATATGCTGTTGTAGTGAACCCAGTTGCTTTTCACAGGTGGTTCTCCAAAGAGTGCATCATTAAAACAAGACCCTTTTCCTACTACAAGGTGCCCGACAAATGTTTCGGGATGAGCATCTCTGATTTGGAGCATTTGCTAGCTTATAAATGCTTGTCTGGCACCTAGCACTGTATTTCCCTTTTTTTTCTGTCCCATGAATTCCTTTCAAGCTATATTGGAATCCAGGACCCACATTTTTAATGTTGCTTTACAAATAGCATACAAACCTAAACTCTGGTCTAGAATCCAGCAGGTTCACAGCCCAGGGTTTCAATGAATTGCTTCCTTGTGGTACATTTGCTCGAGGGAATTCCGCCAGTGCTTCCCTCTCCACCTGCAGCTTCTTGCCTGTGCAACAGGCTTTGGAACAGGAGCAGTTCCTGGCAGTCTGCCTGCATATGTGCGCGAGAGAGAGAGTGCAATATTTCCCACTTACCTGGTTAGGACCTGGTTAATTGGTGTTAAGGGTAGACATGGCTGGTGCTTGCCAAAGGCCCACACTCCAGCACAGGGCTACTGACAGCGGCCCCTGCAGCTCCCCTCTTCGTGACTGCAACCTGCTTGTTCACTCGCCTCTACTTTGGCCAGGCAATGGTGTTCTTGATGAGAAAGAACAGTAGGTGCCTCTGCTGACTTGCTCTCTGACTCGCTGTCCATCAAGCAAACAAATGCTGCCAATCATGAGAAGCAGGCAGCGCCGTAGTGCTGGCGAGAAGGTGGATTCAACAAGGGAGGGGTCTGTCTCATCCAAGGACCTTCCAGAGCTGTGGGCCTGCCCCCCTTTTTGTTAGGTCTGAGTTGGGAGTGGCACATAGTCTAGAAGGTTCATTAAAACTTGATAATCCATTCTTTAAAAGTTCGCACTCTTCATAGTTGTGGGAAAAAACCTAAAACCTGATTACTGTAAACCAGGCTCCCCAACCAAATGCCTTCCAGATGTTTGGGGATTCAGCTCCCATCAATGCCTACAGCATGGCCAGTGGGCAGAAATTCTGGGAGATGTAGACCAGAGCTCTGGAAGGCCTCACTCTGGGGAAGACTAGTATGTGTAACCCTCTGGACAGTTTGGCCCCATCCAAGCCAAGCAACATGGCCAGTGGTCAGGGCTACTGAGGGTTGTAGGCCAGAACATGTGGAGGGACCCAGGCTGGGGACAGTGATACCGAGCATGGACAGGAGCATAAGAACAGCCGCACCGGATCAGATCAAGCGTCCGCCTGGCCCAGCACACGGTTCACACAGAGGCCAGCTAGCAGCCCACAGGATCCCTCAAGCAGGACATGGGGTGCAAGAGCACCCCACTCCCCCCAGTTCTGATTTTAGCTACAGAGGGGGACTTATTTTGTCTTAATCGAGCACATTTCTCTGTCTGTCTTTGCAGGCTCCAGTCTATTTCTGTCTTTTACAGACCAGCTCAGCTCAGCTCAGCTCAGCTCAGCTCAGCTCAGCTCATGTACATCTCTGAATCTTGACTCTTCAGCCCACATTTCTTCCTCAGTGAAAATGCTCAGATGAAGCTAGCTTTATGCACCCTTGCCCAGTCTGGGTATTTTAATGTGTTTTTTAATTGTACGGTATTGGGAAACTGATCCTCCAGTGGAGATCAGTCTCACCTCCCTGTAAAATGGGTCACAGACCATACCCTTAGTGGAAGGAACTTGCGGAGAGTTTCAGATAATGGCACTGGCGTTGCTAGGCCACCCCTGCCTCCGCTTGGTCTTGATGCACATTCACGCAGCAGTATAATCACTTGGTGATTATTTGTCACAGTTCCCCCCCCCCCCCCCACAAAGGATGAACTGGAAAGCAGTATGTGGAGATACACAGTCTCTTGTCTGCTAGCCCTTGCTTGCCAAGGGCAAATGGCAATTGGTGCGTTTCCACGGGGCTGCCATCTGCAGGATTTTCTTTCCTTGTGTGGAATTGCAAGCATTAAAGGGCTGAAAAGCTGGTCTGTGTCCTCTTGCCACTTCTCATAATGTCTCCTACAGTTGTCGTGCTTTTGTTTTGTCAGGCGTCTGGCGTTGAAGGTTCTGACATCCCTGACGACAGCAAGCTCATTGGCTTTGCCCAGCTCAGCATCAGCTAAAACAACACTCCCAGATGATGGTCCCTCATGGGTGCGGCTTTCGAGCGCTTCTGTTGGCCTAAAAGCAAAACCACTACTGCCAAAGAACCAGACTACAGGCCCTTTTCTTAGAAGCTTGAACCTTGTTTGTTTCCTGAGTAGCATCACCGTGTCTCCCAGCACCACTGTCCTCAGCACCGCCACCTGTTGGCGTCTCGTCCATCCTCACCCAGCTCTTGCACCCCCTCCATCCCAGACATGCAGACCCACCCACTCATCCTCTGCATGTTTCTAGTCTATTACTGCCTTAACTATTTAAAAAAGAAAACCCAGGCATACTACTGAGAGTACGAAACAGGGGTTCCACTACACTTAACAACTCTCTTGCTGTGATTGGCTTGTTTTGTGTTTCTTATTGAATTATTTTTTACCACATCAGTGTTGTTTAACTGCAAAGGTGTTTGTTTTGCTTTTGGGTCTGCAGGGGGGAAAAGAGCAGCAGTGGCAAGCCATTATAGCAGTCTCTTCCAACCTAGTGCCTTCCAGACTATCTAGATTGGAACTCCCAGCATTCCTGGCCATTTGCTGTGCTGGCTAAGGCTTTTGGGAGTCGAGGTGCAAAGCTTTGGGAGAGTTCCAGGTTGAGGAAGGCTTATCATAGCATTTTGGAAAACAGACTGAATTACTGTGCAAACCTAGTGAAGTCTTAAGAGTAAAGGCCTTTGATTTAGCAGCCTTTGAGGAAGCTTATTTTATGAATCCAGGGCAACAAAGAAGGTTGTTTTGCCTGCCCTGTGATTAGCCTTAATCCTCCATCCCTTCTCATCAATACAAAATATTGTGCACGTGGGGAAACACCATCGTTTGTCTGTGTGTGTGTGTATTGGGGGGCAGCTGTCACCCCACTAGACCACTTTTCCCACATACTTTAGAGCATCCTTCCCCAGCCTGGTGCTCTCCAGTTGTACGGCAGTGCTCAGTGTCCCCTAGCCACCGTGTGGGGAGATGCCTGTGTTGGAGAAGGCTGTTCTAAAGTACCACGGGCTCCATGGTCAGTGTTGCGTCACACCTGCTTTATACTGCCATAACGTGAGGAGCACTTCCTGTCGAGGTGAGCGGAGTTTCACATAATGGGTGACGGTAGCGCTGCAATGACAGCTGACCGGTGAGGGTAACATAAAAGGGGGTGGCGGGTTGTCCCTTCCGACAGGATGGTTTTGTTTATTCTTTTATAGTCCATTCACACGCTGTATGGGATGGACCTCCTTTTCTGAATATTCTTAAACATGGACGAGTTCTGTAAAACCAAAACTTCAGTCCCCCAAGTTGTTACACTGATGCTGGGATTTCCCTGTTCCCAGAAGCTGTGCCCTACTCGTATTTTCACTGGATGGATAGCAGTGACGGGGTTTGCACTACATGATAAACCATGGTAGGTTGTCAGCCATATTTGTTTCAGAGCGGCTGCTTATGTTGTCCAAACCCTACGGTGTTGCTTGTTAAGCCACACTGGTCAGGTTCAGACAACAAGCTGCTGTGAAACAAACATGGCTCACACCCCACCATGGTTTATTGAATTGTGAAGCTCCGCAACATGTGGGAAAGGGCCTTTAATGTAGCTGTACTATACACGTTATCTCTTTTCAGACCTCCTTAAAACTTTGGTGTGCCCCGATCTTAGAACCCTCTGAACTGTAGTTCTGCAGAGTGACTAGGAATATGTCAGTCCAAACTGAAAGCAACTTTATCATGCCAGGTCACAATTTCCAGTACTCTTAGGAAAAGCAGATTACTTACTAAGGTTTCTTCAAATTGCACATTTTTTCCTCATCATGGGATTATTTCTGCAATCATTTGTGAAGGGAGCCCTTTGTAAGTAGGCTATGGAGATGGGTATTGTAATTTGCAAGGTTTGATAGATGTGCGTGGTTTAAGTCTGTAGAGTAGGTAGGTACGTGTGGGCCAGAGGCACAGCCATTCATGAAACCAGATTTCTCTATCCATGTTAAGAACAATAGTTCAACATGAGGTCCAGCGAGTCGAAGTAATTTTGTTTGTATGTATATGTATTTTTCTGCTGAGAACTCCCCTGAATGTGTTTTCCTTCAAGAACATTTCATTGGTGTGTATAAGATAAAATTGTGTGTCCTTTTACTTTTTCTGCACAGACCGGTACATGTGGAACTGCCCCTGTTCTATTTTTACAGCAATAAAAAGTTTGCCAGTAGATACATACATGGCAAGATTTAAGCTCTGGGCAATTTTGTCCCTCCTGCTGCACTAACTGCTTGGAATTTGCAGAACCGTTTTTATACTCTCAGCTCAAGTGTCAAAAGTTTGATCAAGATGATGTAACTGAAACAAATATAGCTCATGTTTAGTATTTTTTTAAGAAATGAGTATCTGGTGGTGTGTTTTTTCCCATGTTTTGAATTTCTACATATAAATTATACTTCTTAGTTTGAGGGAAAAAAACACTGCAATGTGTGAATAATAAAACGTTGACCCCCCCCCGCCCCCCCACCCCGGCAACAGCCCCCCCGCTTGCAAAGTGGCCCTTTTGTGTATCACTGCTTGGCTTTGAAGTATTTTATACGATGAAACTGTGTTCAGGCTGGAATTGATTCCCAAGCAAATGGAACTGGGCTCTCATTTTGGCCTGCTGCCTTATAATGCGCACCAAGCGGGCCCCGTGAGACCGTGGGGGAAGCCCTGGGAGCCGGCGTACAGATCTCCTCCCGCCCCTCTGTTTTAACTCCATTGTCAAGTCCCTCTTCCTCTGTTGGTCATCTTGCCCATGGTTTTGCGTGCTCTATCTGATCCAATTTTAACCAGAGTTAGATTTGGGCTGGGGTTTCGAATCTGGTTTGTAAGCTCCAATTAAGGTCGGTGCAAAGCCACAGTTAAGGAAGGGAGCGGCATGCAAGTCTGTGTCTCACACTGGACCTCTTGAGTAGTATTTAAGAGGTGGCCAGCTTTAACGTGCACGCCGGGTCACCGTAGGTGTGGGAAAATTGGATTTAGTAGGGCTGTTTTGTTTTCTTAGTCTTACAAAATATATTTATATATTTTTCTCTATGATCAGTTATGGAAGCTTCTTTAAAAATCGGCATGTTTTGTTTTTTTACTTTTGAGCCTGTAGTTTTAAGATTGGCTAAATCTACCAATAGGTCACAAGCAAAAGCTCCACAAACAAAGGCAGAGACAAAATGAAGAAAGGAGGGAGAGCTTTGATGTAATAATCACACGGAAGGGGAAGGGGCATGGGAGGGTGAAATCCGAGTTTTGTTTGGGCTTTGCATGTGTGTGTTCAAAGTTCCAGCACTCCCTACTCACTCCTCCAAGAGCTCCATTTTTTTCTTTTTTGTGCTTCTAGGCTTACAATCTGAGCAGGCTACAGCCTGCTCATCCACAAATGCTGGTGAGTGTAGTTTAAACCTTTAAAACACAAAAATAAACACTTTATGGGAGAGGCAACAGTGGAGAGTCCTTGGTCAACTGTTCTGGGCCTCTGACTGGGCACTGGGTTCCCACATGGATGATAGCAGTGGCCCTCGGAGGCTCCATGGCGATCCCGGCTTCAGGAGGACGGGACGTCCTTTGGAGCCTGTGATGTCATGTCACTCAGGTGGGCAGCGCTTGCCTCGAGCCCCACCTCCCTTTAAGATGCTGTGAACAGGTTGGGTGGCGCTTGCTGCAGCAACAGACCCAGGCTGCCGGCAGGGGTGGGACGGCTCGGGGAATGTAGAACGCACCCTCCCCACTCCATCCCAATTGCCCATCCCTGACTTTGGCCACGGAGACCAAATTGTTCTGGTACAGTATTACTTCCTTTTTGCCTGCATGCCATGCATACCTTGGTTGTACTCTCACTGGAGTAGAACTCCAAGCTAATCCAGTGGAATTACGCAGTATCTATTTATTAACTCCCATCTCTGTCTAATCCAGGTCTAGCAGGCAAGGGTATCCATGTTAGCTGTTCCTTGTTTTGTTATGATCCTCAATTACCCTGGCTATTAGATTTTTAGGCACATGTCTCCTGGTGGTAGGTTTTTTGGTTGTTTTTTTGTTTGTTTTTTTGGCTTGGGATACTAAAAGTGCTAGATGACTATTCTGTTCTTGAGGTTCAAAAGTGCCAATGATTTTTGTTTTGTTAAGAAATTATTTCTAACCTTTTTACCCTTACGGATCAGAGGGTTTTTATTTTGGGTAAATTTTGAACTTGAACCTAGAAATCAGTTCGTATTTTTTTAAACTTAGTTGATATTCTTAAGGATGATGATGGTGTATTAATATAAAAAGAACCTCTACACAATTTTGTTGTACTGTAGATTTTAATGAAAGATGTAAAATATTCAGCCTTTTTTCTTTGACTTTGTATTTTACTGCATGTATTTCTCTAATTTTTAATCAATAAAAGAATTGTCCATTGCTTTTGTGTAGTGGATTACATATTAAAGATTTCTATTCTTCTTTCTGCAAATTGCCCAAATAGTTTTCCGCAGTTGTATCAGATCCACGCACGAGAATAACCACGTTACTGTAAATTGAGGAAGATCTCCTGTAATGTTTGAAAATATATTTGAGTTTGGTCTGGGGTTGAGACCGGTGTTCCTCTTTCTGTGGTAAGTTGTAGTCCTCTTTGTTTCTTCACTTCTGGAAAACAGCAAGCACTGCTGTCCACCATGATGTACAGCTGACAATTAATAGGTTACACAGTAGAGTTGCAAAGATGTCATGTGTTGAACTGTGCTAACAAAAGTTCTGATGAATATTAGCCCCTTTCTCTTGCACAGTGCCACCTCCCAGTTTATTTTGGGTTTAAATATTAATAGGAGGAGGCTCTTGGGGTAGATATTGCAGCCACAGAGGTGAAGGGTAGAAAGAAACCGACAATGACGGATGTGGGGGAAATCATCAAGGCGCTCAATGATTTTGGGCGATTCCAGGCCTTGTTGGTGGTGCTGATGACCCTGAGTGCACCCAGTGTCGGTTTTCATATGTTCAGCCAGTTGTTCATGGTCCTAGAAGAACTCCATCATTGCAACACAAGCTGGTTTGATACCATTGGCCTGAACTTGACCAAAGAGGAAAAGCTAAATTTCACCCTTCCCAAAAAACCTGATGGGACTTTCGAAGAATGTTTCATGTACACTCCAGTGGAGGACCAGAGCCTTGAGGCCATTGAGAGATACGGACTTAATTCTTCTGTGAGCTGCCAAGAAGGGTGGGTGTATCCGTCAAAGCGAGAGCCATCCTTGGTCACACAGGTTTGGAAACCCTTTATTTGCTTACAACCATAGAATCATAGAATAGTAGCCTTGGAAGGGGCCAGAGGACCATTGGGTTCAACCCTCTGCTCAGTACAGGTTTCCAGGATAAACTCTTTTCTACCCAAAGAGTTACCAGCTTCTGTATGGATTACTCCACGAACAAATGCACTTTTAAAAACAGTTCAGGTAGTGTTACCTCGCTCGGTGCCCTTCAGGAACAATTGGCTGCCATAGCTAATGATCTTGCTTGGTGGTGGTTGTGAGAGTTGTAGACAAACCCATTTGGGGAGCTCGGTTCTGGATTAGGACCTGACTGTCTAATGTACCAGCCATCTTGTTTTGAACCTGTCCCTTTAAGAGATGCAGGAGAGGCTTTTGCTGCCCACACCATCTTCGTTGGTTCATGGGAAAGTCTCCCCTATGGCACTTCTAGACTACGTTCCCGGATGCCCTCCGGCATTACCATGGGTCCCTGATCATTCAGTTTTCAGGATGAGTGCTAAGAGTCCCAGTTTTTCCTCTGGTTGTCTGATTTTTTTTAAGTGCCATTTAATCTTTTAAATGGTTCTATTAGTGCCCATGTGGATCAGATGTTTTATTATATTTTAGAGTGATTGTGCATTGTCTTGGTGGCTGTTTGGCAAAAAGGGCATATGAAATAATATCAGGCATCAGAAAAAATAAAATTGCTGAAGATAACATAATGAAGCAGCAGGAGCAGCTGGTGAGGGTTTAAACAGTCTTGTCTATATTACACTATAGAGGAATTTTAATGGCCCAGACTGGTAGCCAAAGTTTTGTCTGGTACATTCCTATTGTGTAAAGCCCAGCTGTTCTGGCTTCCCTGAGGTGGGGAGGAGGACCTGCTGCTCTAACCAGAAGTTCTGCAGCATGACTGTTCTTGCTCTCTCGAGGTCACCGTTGCTACAGATTTTTTCTGGTCCTGGACTGCTTGGGATATTTTCCTTCTGCCTCACTTTGTGGCCCTCCTGCTGTTGCCAGCACTCTGCATGCATCCCAGCCACACGGTTCCCTTCCTTTTCTCCTTCCACATTCAGGAAGCCACTCAATTCCTGGCCAGGCAAATGGTGGAAAGAGGTGATACGATGTGGTTAAATGAGGGACACGGAGGGGCTCCACCAGAACACAGTGTCTCCCAGCATCGTTGCAGCCCCCCTTCCTGATAAGCAGAGGCAAAGTGCCTGGGCAGCGGAAATCGGCCATCTAAGGGTTTTGCAGGGAGGAGACACGTGGGGCTCATCTTCACCTCTGCGTTCTTCAGTGCCTATCAGGTTATTCATAATCGATGGAGTCTGGAGAGTTACAGGCTGGATCGCGTTGCCCGTAACGAACAAGTGTCCACTTCGCCCTGTTTCATGATCGTTCCAGTCTGGGCAGGCTAAAGCCAAGAATGTAGAGCAGGAGGGTGTGCGTGTAGTAAAGGACACGTGTGAGCGAAAGTAATTCCGTGGACTTTGGCCTCCTTTGAGTCATGGGGTATGACTCAGGATTTCCCTCTCCAGCTTCTCCCATTCATGCTGAGTTGTGAAATCAAAAGAGCGATGATGCAAGCACTGTTCTTTCTCCGCTGATCTGCTCTCTGTCCACGGATACCCCCAGCAAACCTCAACCTTTCCTCTTACTACTGTTATTTATTTATTTAGAAAATGTCTGTGCCGCCCCATTCGCCGAAGCCTCACCGAGCTGCAGCTCACAAACCTTCAGTGTAACAGCACTTTGGCAAGCTCACAACCAAGGGAAAACCAAGTTAAAAAGTAACAAATAAACCGTTCCTAAGTGCTAAAAAGTTTTGAGTTTAGTGGCCTATAAGCAGTGCCTAGCGACGATGACCCATGCTCTGGTGACTTTCTAACTGGGCTATTGGAACATGCTTTGCATGGAAGTGCTCTTGAAGGTGGTCAGGATAGTTCAGTAGTTCAAAACAGAGCTGCCAGGATGTTAACGGAGACCGGCAGGTATCTGCATATAATGCCAGTCCTCTACCAGCTACACTGGCTGCCGGTTGAAGCCCCGGCCCAATTTAAGGTGCTGGTGATGACCTATAAAGTCCTAAACGGCTTAGGATCCGGATATCTGAAGGAGCGTTTCCCACCCACCCCTTAAGATCTAAGGCGGAGAGCCTTCTTTGAAGGAGGTTAGGAGGGTGGCTACCCGGAGAAGGGCCTTCTCCGTGGTGGTGCCCTGGCTGTGGAATGCGCTCCCCAGAGAGGTCCGCCTGCTGCCCACACACTGTTCCTTTCAGTGTCAGGTTAAACCCTTTTTATTTTCCCATTATTTTAATGTTCAGTTAGGTTTTAATGTGGGTTTTATCTTACTGGAATTACAGTTGTACCTTGGCTCACGAACTTAATCCATTCCAGGACTCTGGTCGTGGCCCAAATTGGTCGTGACCCAAGTCAAATTTCCCCATAGGGTTCAATGTAAATACGGTTAATCCATTCTGTAACTATTTTTTTAATCAGAAAAATTTGAAGAAAAGTGACAACAACAAAGATCACGGCCATCTCCCCGCCACCATCCTGAGCACGAACGCAGCCATCTCAACCCCCACCCCCCAGCATGAGCACGATTGTGATCGCAGCCATGGATGGGCACGCCCGGGGGGGGGGGAGGTGGGCACGATCTTGTCCATCCCCCCCAGCACGATCGTGGCCATCTCCCCGCCCCCGAGCACAACCGCGGTCGCACCTGCCTTCCCTGCATGAGCGCGACCGCGATCCTGGCCATCTCCCCACTTGGGTGGAGGGGTGGGGGGGTGGCTGCGATCTCGGTTGCCACCCAGTGCGGAGTTCGTAACCCGAGTCAAAATTTTTATGAAATTTCTGTTCGCCACCCGATTTGGTCATGAACTGAGGCATTCGTGAGCTGAGGTTCCACTGTATTTGGATGCTGTGCTTCATTTCATTTTACGCTGCTTTTACTGTAAGACCATCCCAAGATACTAATAGTTGGATGGTATATAAAAGCTTTAAACAAGCAAACATTCCCCAACACAGCATATGAGTAGCTCCCCAGACAGAACTGAAAATGATCTACATTTCTCCCTGCATGCCACAACTATCAATTAAGATCTGTGGCAGTTGCAATGTCCTGCACAGAGTCTCACTTAAGGAGCTGCGAGTTTGTTTATTTTTATTTATTTATTTATTTAGAGTTTTTGCATGCCATCCCAACACTTAACACCTCGGAGTTGGCTGAAGGAGCACTCCTCTCAGCCTCCACTTGCAGCTTTCTCCATAACTTAAGCCCGTATGCATGCTTACTTGGAAAATCAAGCCTCCCCACCTTCAAAGGGGGTCTTGTGCATAGGATTGTAATCCGAGTAAACTGACCTGTGGCGAACAGAAACATACAATCCATGCTTAGGGCCTTCAAGGGGGCTAAGAGGCTGTATGTTTGGAGAAACCAATGAGCCCATGATCCTCTGCCATCTGTGCATATAACTCGCATTGTGTAGTTCAGGAGCTCAGTGCTGGCCTCTGGTGGCAGCGGCAGGTAGAGTTTGCACCCTCCCGGAAAGTGGTGCATTTTGACTCTATAGCATAAGCACCTGGGGAGGGAGGGAAGAACGCCTCGCTTTTGGGGCCTTCCCTCTAAGGCGGGGGGCGGGGGGGCAATGGTGTCAAGAGCGAGGCAGGGAAATGGGGTGAATGTCAGCACATCATGATGCCTGCGTATTCCCTCCAGCGAGCGCCCTGCCCTTTTTGGCCAGGTGAAACTTCTTGAACATTGCAAGCGCTGTGGGCAACCTATGCACATCCTGAGCTGGCTGCCTCCCTGAAGAAGGCAAAATGGGTGAAGCTAACGGGGAAGTGACTTGCCAACGGGCCTGAGTACAAGGCAGAGGTGGGGTCCAGTCCCCAATGCCCAATCACATATGACCCAAGGGCTGGTTTAGGTTAGACCCTTTTCCCAGACGCCACAACCGTGGTACCTAAGGAGCATGCGTGCATGGAGAGGCAAACATTCACACGCCACCCAGGTGCACTGTGTATGCGTATGGAATCCAGCTAGTGCACACACTGCCCCCACACCGAATCCAGCTAGTGCACACCCCCACACACACCAGAGCGGCAACAGCTGCCTGGCGGCAGTGTGGGACGAAGCCTCCATAGGTGCTTTGTCCCGGCAGCCGAGCGTGTGTGGAAGCAGGCACCTGGCGGCGAACACCCACCACCGATGGATGTCCCAGGTGGTGCTGCACCAGGTTGCCGAGGGCGTTTGGGTCCCTTCCCAAAGGTGAGAGTTACTTCTCTCCAGCATTGCCACCAGCTGCAGCTGCGCTTCATCCCTTCCTCACCTTGCTTGACAAGCAGGGAGGGGACAGGTGTGTCAGTGGCATCACTCGCTGTCCCCTCCCACCGCCGCTGCTGTCTTGGACAGAGAGGGGAACAGGAATGCCGAGAGCCCCTGCCGGTGGGTCCCTGCTGGGGTGCGGTGCCTCAGCGGGTGCCCGCCCTGGACCCCAGTCATGCTTCTGGGGCTGCAGAGTTTAAAAATAAAGCGGGAGATGTAGCCCAGCTAGTTAGATCTCTGCAGGAAGGAGACTAACTCCTTCCCATCATGCCTCTGGGGGGCAACTACAGGTTGAATGCCTCTGCCCCATGTTAAAAAGAACTTCTATTAGCAGATGGGAAGCTAATGTGTCAGGAAGATGGCCAGGCTGGGCAGAGAATAGGTTTGAAAAGTGCCAGCTACTGGAGCACGTATCCAAGAAAGTCTCTGGGGCCAAAAAAAAGTGAACAGACCTGGAAGCCTGCCAGGATAATCATGCTGAAAGTCAACTTGTGCAATGTTGGGTTTATGTTTAAAGTGGGATGGAACCCAATCCAAATAATTCAGTTGGGCTCTCAAACAGAGCAATAAGGGATAAGGGCGCGAACTGATGTGGAATACATTGTCATCTTCATGGAGTTTAAGATGAGTTCTGTTTCCAGCCCTGGATCTGTTAGATCCGTCAGCTTTGGGACCTGGTTGTTGAACAGACTTGTTGCCTTGAACTGGGGTGGGGTGTTAAACATTTTTCCCTTCTTGGCCGTGCACCAGCTTTCCCCAATGGGGTGTTTTGGAGGTATAGGACCATCCCCCACTTCCCCAGCCAGCAGGGTATGAAGGGAATGTGTGCTGCCATAGCCCTGATCACCTTGCTTCCCCAACCCAGCGCCCTCCAGATGTTTCGGGGTACCACTCCTAGCATTTGTGACTGTGGATGATGCTTGCCTGGGACTGAGGAGATCTGCACCAGGCTGTACCACCTAACGTGGGGTAGGGGATATGGGACACTGCAAATGGCAGTGTTGGAAGGCATCTCCCATCAGACCTAGCTAGAATAGTAATGGCGAAGGGAACGGAAGTTCAGGAATACTGGGAAAGCTGCTCATTCCCCATCCGTGCTCAGCTTCGCCTCCCATCGCAGAATCTGATCTGGGAGTTCTTCATTCAACTCTGCAAATTAAACGAGGATACACACTCTCGGGGATTTTAACACACCTTTTGCTGCATGGCAGAAAAAAATGCTGATATTCAAATACGTGTCTTACCCTTCTCAATCAAAGATGTCTCTGAAAAATGAAAGCAATGTGTGTTAAAAAATACTAAAGTTATATGTTGCCCTCTACCCAAAAGTCTCAAGGTGGCTTACTGTAAAAATATAGTAATGAATAAACAGTAAAATACATCATAATCAGAATTGAAAACAATACAATGATAACAACATAAAAACAGTGAATGGGAGGACAGGATCAGTTATTTAAAAAGGTGTTAAAAAGGAATGTTTTTGCCTGGTGCCGAAACAATAATAGAGTCAGTGCCAGGCAAATGTCCCTAAGGAGACCAGAACTGTTGTGACCAGACCTTGGCGATAGTTGCATGCAGTACATCCCATAGTGATTTGACCTTCCAATCAAGTGGCCTTCCTTTCCTTCCTTAAGTTTGACCTGGTCTGCGACCGGAAAGATCTAATTGACATCTCCCAGTCCATTTTCATGCTGGGCCTTCTCGCTGGAGCGCTGGTCTCTGGAATGTTAAGTGACCGGTAAGAGAGAGATATTATTTTTTTTTAGAAAAAACAGCACCTTGCAGAGCAAGGGGGAGCAAATGGCGGGGAGGATCCTGCTGCTGAGATGAGGGATCCGTTGGTCAAAGCTTCCTTTTCTTGGGCTTAGAAGGGAATGCTCATTATAACCCAAGAGACAGCAGGCCACCTTTTTCTTCTCAGGTATGGCCGTCGACCGTTGTCTCTGTTGTCCCTGCTCATTGTCGGCATGTTTGGGGTTGCCACGGCCTTTGCTCCAAATTTCTATGTGTACAGCATGCTCCGATTTCTCGTGGGCGTTTCTATTTCTGGAGCCTCCATCAGCATTTTAGCTCTAGGTAAGTTCCTTGTTGCCAGAACCTCCAAACCGCTCGGGAAGTGGCAGGAACCCCTGTGGATGCACAAAGGGAATTGGAACGGGATTCCTGTTGAATTTCAGGCATGCACACGCTGGCTGCTAGCAAAAATTTATTCTTCTAACCCTGACCAGCAGTGGCTTCCAAGGGCAACCTTCTCCAACCTCTGTAGGACTACAACTCCCAGCATGCCCCAACCTGCCACAACCAAGAAAATTTGAGTTGTAAGGCAGAAATGGACTTCTATGTTTTGACAAGCTTTAAGAGACGAAGAACATTTGCAGCCCTCTGGGCTTCCAGACGAGGTGTTTATTGTGCAAACACCCTGCTTCATTCCCTGAACATGATGGGAGAGCATGTCAACTATTTTATACCCCTCCGGTGATGTTTCACATCACTGAATATTTATTAAGAAGACAGAATAGCTCCGCAGTCTATTTTGACTGGTAGTACCAGCTCCCCTGTACCTGGAAACACTTTCTTGTTCCAATGTTTGCTTCCAACAGTCCTAGAAGAGGCATGCCCAGAAATGCCACATGACTGGACCCCATAGACCAAGCACAAACTTTTACAGATCCTGGTTTCAGCCCAAAGGATCTCCAGTTAAAAAGATCAGGTAGCAGGTGACGGAGAAATCCCCTCTCTGTCTAAGATGTGTAGACAACACGCATCCCAGTGGACAAACAGACCTGGTCTGCATGTGACACTAACCCATTGTCAACCCACGGTTGATTGCCTTGCTTGGAGTTTGTGTGACAGATGATTGACCAAACTCTTGCTTGCTTTCTCAGTTCCGGGGTTCTGACCCCTTTCCCCCTTCACCTGCTTCCTCTGTGCCCCAGATACCTTTGTAGCTGCGAAGGGTCGGTGGGATTCGCTGTCTCCTACCTGGTAGCCAGGCAAGGGGAAGGCGCCATGGGGGGGCAAAGAGGCAATGGAGCCGGCTCCTGAAGCATCAAGTCCTACAGAGATGGAGCATTGGGTGGGGGAGGGGCCAGGTGTGCCACTGCTTTCCCCAGGGAGGGAACACCTGGATGAAAGGATGGAGGCAGGGCAGTGTCAGAGGGATAAAGGGGAGACGGAGGGGAGCAACAGGAGGGGAGGACATGGAGGTGGTCATGGGAGAAAGAGAAAAGCAGCAGTCGGAAGACAGAGGTGGTAGGTGAATGGGACTCAGGGAGTAGGAAAGGCGCTTAATCCCTACAGACCAGGGCAGAGGCAGGGGCCTAGGCGTGGACTCAACTCGCCTTGCCACCCTGGGAGGAGGAGCGCCTGCATGGGGAAGGAGCAGCCTGGCAAAGGTTGGCGAGGTGGAGAGAGACGGTTCTGCTGTGGGCACGCACTGGAGGAAGCCAGCAGAGACGGGAATTAGCAGCGCGGAAGCCGGGCTCTGAAGAAGCTGACTGGGAGGGTGGGCAGATGGTGGGAAAGGCGCCCTCCCGGCCCTGGCTGGGACAGTCAGCAGCATGCCTGAAGCTAAAGGGACAGCTCCATTTTCGGTTAAGCCTTTGTAAGGAGCAGCCGGGTAACCCTGCTGTTTATATGCCAAGGCTTGTGTTAAAGGTGCCCCCCCCCCGCACGCACACACACAATCACAGTAACGCTGTAGCACTGGCATGTACTGTGGTTGGTTTTTTCAATGACTTTTGTCCCCTGCCTCTGCACCCTGATGAAACAACTCATGAACAACCCATGGTTCTGGGTTCGCACACAACTGTAATGCCTGGCTTAAGCAACCCAGTATCCACGACTCAACAGAAAACAGTGGATCCTCTTTCTGGGTTGTTTCTGATCAGTAAGCAATGGTTTGTTAGAGCTGCTGGATTTGTGCCTCATGACTACCTAGAATTCAACAACCCAGGAGTTAGATGAATAATGACTTAGCATCACATGCAAACCAGGTCATAGGCTGACCTGATATAAGGTATAAGGTCATCTCCTGACCTGTTTTGTTCATAAATATTTAGTTAGCCCATCATTTAGTTAGCCAATCAGTTGTGCCCTCCTCATGGTTAGATTGTGGTGATCTAACCAATCACAGTGAGTTTTTTCAATCCCTGGGGTGCTTGTTCTTCACCCACTCCCTCCCTGTATAGCTTTTGGGGCTCTATAGCATTGGCATATAAAGCAGCTGGGGGCTTTCACTGCTGCTGCCCACCGCCTCTGAAGCTTGGCAAAACAACCTGGGTGCAACTCACAGTTGTGAGTTCAGACACAATAACAACCCATGATTCAAAAATTCCAGAGTTTGCAACCCAATGACTAAATCATAGGTATATTTTTCTGTGCTGTTCATGGTTAACATGAACCATGAACAGCACAGAAACCATGGCTTGTTACTGGGACTGGGCTCACACATCGCAGCAATTACTCATATCATGGGTTAGTGTTACTTTGAACCCTGGGCCAGTCACAGCCCAACTTACCTCACAGGGTTGTTGTTGTGAGGATAAGATTGAGAAGAGGGAGAAGCCTCCTTGAATTGTTTTAAAGGAAAAAAAAGTAGGATGTAAATATCATAAATAAATAAAATATGCAAACACTTTCAACAAGCCATGGGTTAGCTTCATGTGTGAACCAGCAGCCGTGTTCCACTTGTGACCAGAGGATGGCGCAACAAAGCTCTTTCTATACACACTTTTACCAGAGCAATATTTCAGGATGACGTAGCTGAATTATTCTAAGCAAATGGCTGAGGGAAGTTCCTTACACAGAAAGCTGTTCTCTTTGCTCTGGCAGCTGGAATCATTGCCAAGGACAGGAGAATGCCGGGTGTGAATTTGCTGTTAAGGAATCCTGCTCTTGTGAGGAAGCCTTTGCTAAAGTTGTCTATTCTATTATTTATTTTATTTTTATCTGCATCTTCCCAATTAACAATGGGCTTTAGATTCCCATGGATTTCTTTTATTTCTAGGTATCGAATGGGTCGGGGTCAACTACCGGCCACACACCATTGTTATCGCCCATCTGGGCTTTGCCACAGGCCAGATGGTTCTGGGGGGCTTGGCTTACGCCTTCCGCGACTGGAGGCTGCTGCAGATTGTTGGCTCTGTCCCGGTCTTGGCTCTCTTTTTTTACATATGGTGAGTAATGGGTTAGAGCAGGGGTCCTCAAACTTTTTAAACAGGGGGCCAGTTCACTGTCCCTCAGACTGTTGTGGGGGCGGACTATAGTTTGAAAAAAATATGAATGGATTCCTATGCACACTGAAAATTAAAAATTAATTAAAAATTAATTAAAATTTTAAAAAGAAGCCCAAGATGAGGTGGGGAAGAGCATGTCCATATTCAAGGGGGCAGAAGGCCAGGGCTCCCATGCCTCCACCGCAAGCCGCGGCCACCTCACCGAGCCTGGTGGCCTCCCCATAGAAGGCTGCCCCCGGGCTCAGCGAGGTGGCCGTGGCTTGGCTTGTAGCCCGAGGATGTGGCTCACATACTTAAACATGGATTTAAAAAGTTATATTTTTCTTACCTTCAACCCTTTTTTAGTGTCTTCGTCTCTCTCTCTCTTTCTTCTGCCCTCCTTTCTTCTGTTTCCCCTCTCTGTATTCCCGCTCTGTATATGCATGCAATGGGGGCAGGGGGCGGGGGGAGAGCTGGCGCATGCGCAGTTGAGCTTTTACAATTAGGCGCATGCGCCGGCTCTCTGCTCAGTTTGAAAGGACACCTGTGCTGGCTCAGAGTTTTTGGACTTGCTCAGAGATTGTTTTCTCTGAGCAAGTCCAAAAGCTCTAAGGCAGGCTGGATAAATGAGCATGGCGGGTCAATATCTGGCCCATGGACCATAGTTTGAGGACCCATGGGTTAGAGTGTCACAACCCTGCAGCAGTATGCTGCCAAGGGGGCGCTCCTGCTCAGGGCTCCAGCCAGGTAGCCAAGCTGCCTTCAGAATCCTCTACTCCACTCCTCTTTGCCTGCCCCTGTTTTTGTGTTCCCTCCCCTCACAACCAGCCAGCATTTTGATCTCCCTGAGCATGATCAATTTTCATGGAGCTCATTTTGGATTCTCCCTTTAGCCTCCCACCCTGCTCAAAATTGTTGCAACGGTGCAACCATGAGGATCCCCCAGTATCTTCATCTTATTCATAGTCCCACCGGGTCTATTCTACTTACATGCCAAAGCAGGAGCAGCGTTGGAGTGTGGGAGGGACCAGGTTCTGCCAAGCCGGGCAGCTCCCCCTGGTGGCCTGATAGAGAAGGCAGCCAAGCCCCCCTTGCAAGTGCTTGCAGGATTGGCGCAGCATCTGTAGGTCCTTGCAGAATGAGGATCAATGCAATCCTCAATGCCACCTGGAAGCTACAGGAGACTCTGTGAAAAGCTTGGCCATCGCAACCACCACAAGTCTTCCTGTTGGTTGCCTTCTGGACCTGATATCCAGGCCTGCAACATCTTCCCTTGTGTCTTGATTCCTGTCTGCTTCTGGCTCTGCCTTCCCCTCTGGTCCTCCTACACCTTGCCACATTCTCCATCCATTATTGCCACTCCAGGCTCTGATGTTCCAGTCCAGGACACCTGCAGCTTCCCCTAACCTGAACCCTTCCAGTGATTCCCTGTCCTTCAAGCAGTCATGGATCCGTGGCAGGATGCTCCTTCCTATTCCATAACTGAGGGGTTTCTCAGGAGTCTTTGCTGACAAGCTCTGTCAAAAGCTTTCTAGGCGTTCCAAGCATGCAGTGGCCCAAGGACTCTCTTGTCTCGCAAATAATGGTCAAGTTGCAGAACTTCCTTTTGTAGGAGCCAGGTTGGTCCATGCTTGGTTTGGGCCTCCTGCGCATGCCGCTTGAATGTCGCGGTACCCTGGTAAGGCCTCATGGCTGCCTCTTTCCCCAAGACACAAGGCTTTCTTTGGCCCTAATCCAAATATCCCTGCAGGGGAAAGACTCAGACCCAGAACCCTCTAGGTTGGACTTTCAAGAAGGCCCCATGCCCTTGGGAGTGCAGCCAGCTTCCCTGCCCCCTTATCACGGGAGCCCCTCCCAAGTGTGGGACACACAAAGAGACATCCATTGTTTAAACCATTCTGAACGCTTTGCCATCATTTGCTCCGGGACAAATTCCTCAAGTTTCGTGTTGGCACTGATTGCCCTTCCAATCCCCCATTAAGGAGCAGATGAATAAGTAACGATGGAGTAACATTTTGAGTTCAATTGCTGCTCGTGGAATGCCATCTGAACTTTGTGACTTGTTAATTTTTAATTTGTCAGCTCCTTCTAGAACTTCAACACCTCTGGGTGCATAATTTTACAGTTGCCCCAGCTCCACTGTGCGGGACCCTCATCAAGATCATCAGCTGGGAGCACAGGTTCCCTTTAGCTTCTGTGATGTTCTTATTTCACATCTTGCTTCTGAAAGTGAAACTTGTTCTAATTTTTAAAGTTTCCAAATTGTGCACAAACGTTTTGTGCAATGTATTGTTTCCCCAGTTCAGTTCCTTCAGTTTTCCCTGTCACAGACTTTGGTGCTCTGTCCCTTTTTCTTTTCGTTTTAACATTTTCTCTCATTTTTACTGATTTTTATTTTTTATTATTCAATATTATTGTGCACATGGTTGCCTCAACAATGTTTTGTGCGGTGTTTCACCAATGGACAGAAATACACATGTTATTAGTGGAAAGCTCTTGGCCCCAAATTTATTGGAGTGTCCAATTTGCTCCAGGGCTGGAAAGAGAGATGGAGTCCCAGAGCTGAGAGGCTGTGCAGTGGTGGAGATTGGTCTGGTTCCAGCCAGTACCATTCTTTGGCTCAACTGGGCTGGCCAGAGGGGTGCAGTCCCTGGAATTTTCCCTCCAGTGTGGACTATAATTACAAAAAAGGAACAATGCCCCTTGCTTTTCCCTCTTTTCTCCAGACTTACCCAACAAAGCTTCTATCTAATTTACAGTTGATTTCCTGGGAGGGCTACGTAATTGTGCATCAGAGTCAACCTTTTCCTAGTCAGTTTCAAAGGGCTCAAAATGCCCAGTAACTTAACATAAGATTGATGTTTCTTGCTTCTGCACACTCAAATATTTTTCAGGGTCCTTCCTGAATCTCCTCGGTGGCTCGTGACTAAAGGGAAAGTCAAGGAAGCGAAGGAGCTTCTCCAGAAGGCAGCTGCTATGAACAAACGAACTATCCCACCTAACCTGTTAGATCAGGCAAGACCGGCTGGGATGTGCAATGTTCTATTCCGTGTCCCCCTCCCAAAAGTCCAACCTTATTTCTTCTGATCATTATGATAAAAAGTTAATATATACCATGAATGCAAGTCATTTGCTTCTATGTGATGAATGTGATTTTGCTGGTTATATTTTAAGATTATATTGGGCAGAGGACCTCTCAGCCTCTGGACCTTTTTTTCCGCAAGTGCTCATGGACAATGGAGTGGGGGATGAGATGATGACCACCTGGGCATTCGGGGCCCCAAATGAAAGATTCGGGGCTCCAGCCCTACTGGTCGCCCACTAACAGCACCTCTTGCTGGTACTGGGGCAAAGTCCAGGGATGCATCTCAATGGTGTTTTGGACGGTCCTATGGAGTCCAGTCAGTAAACCTGGTGGGTTTTCACATTCTGAGTCCAGAGGGGGGGAGCAGTACAAATGCATCAGTTCACCTAAACTGAAGGGAGAAGGATGACAAGGAAAAGGAGCCCCTGGCCCTCATTTTCCCCGCCACTGGTGCAAAAGCAGAACATTTCTCCAAACCATTTTTTCCCGATTAGTTGGCAGCCTCCATTTGCCTCAAGCATGTACAGCAAAACCTGCCTTGTTTATTTAGGTAGGGTGGCTTACTTATTGCGCAAATGATGGCTGCAGACCCCCCTTCCTCATTTTATCCTGGTGAAAAGGGGAGCTGTACTGCAAAAAGGTGGGTTTGGAGGAAGGAACTGCAGGTGGACTCATGATAGGCCTTAGAGAAAGCTTGCGATTAATTAGAATGTTCTTCTTTTGCTTTTGTTTTCCTTTTCGTCCTCTGTCTTTTTATTCTCCTTTGTTCCCAAAGCTGAACCCTGAGAAAAAGGCCAAGTCTGGAAGTATTTTAGATCTCTTCAGAAAGCCTCAGTTAATGAAAGTGACACTCGTGATGTCGTCAGTTTGGTAAGTCTTCATGTGTCCTTCCTGTCCAGTAGCGGCAGAGGATTTGTGAGCCAAAGACTTAGAAGATGATCAGTTCTGTTATTGGTGTCCAGCCCAGCCTTTTACCCCTCCTGAGTCTTATTTTATTTCTTGAGATTTTTAGTATAATAAAAATAGCAAAGCAAAGTCCTGTCCTTTGGGCCCATCTGTATTCAGGTTCAAAAAGTGACTCTGTAGTTGTGTCCCAGAGCTCAAGTCATGTCGTGAGCAGAGCCAGCTGGAGCCAGGGGTCAGACTAGATGGCCCAGGAGGCTCCTTCTGACTTGCTCTGTTTCTATGTTTCAAGTCCACCTCTGCCTCATACTTAGGTTCTTGGGTGAGTTACTCTTTTTGAAATCACACCAATATGGCTTCTGGGAAACCATTTGGTGCCTGGCTATACCCACCCTGGTGGCCATGCCATGAATGGGCAAGTCCCATCCACAAGGCAGCCATTTTGTGAGAGGGCTTGTGATGCTCTTTCAAAATTCTGAATTTGCTTCCCAAAAAGGTAGGGTAGCCCTGCCTTTGATTCAGTTCCTGACATCTCCAGTGAAGAGGTGATAGCTTGGCATTGGAACACCTCAGGGGCATGCTGAAGGTTCCTGTTTCAATCCCAGCCTTTCTAGGTCAGGGCTTGGGAAAGGCCTCCATCTAAAACTGTGGAGAGCCTCTGCCAAGCAGAGTGAACGATGCTGAGCTAGAGAGACCACTCGGTTAATGCTGTGTAACTCCCTCTCTGGGAACATGGATGGAAAAGGCTCTCTACCCAGGCCTACAACCCCCTGAAAGTAGATAGTCTGGGGTTAGACAAGCTTATTTCAGATACATCAGGTTTATATATTCCTAAAAGAATCAGAATATCACCCCCTGCCCCCATCTCAAACTATCATGCATATATGATCATGGCAAAGTGCTGCATCTTTTAAAAGTCACATTTGCAAAATTAACTCAGCTTTCTTGAGGGCATATACCTTTCTTTCTCACCCCCACCCCCAAGTCAAAGCAGCCGTTAAAGATAATACAGATGTTCTTGGGGGAAGGGGTTCTTGCATGACTTACTGTTCATTCTACTTTCCACCATAAATGCAGCCTATTCTTTTCCCCTCCAGGTTTGTCAATAGTTTGGCGTATTATGGATTAAGCCTGAATGTGGGCAGGTTTGGTGTGAATATCTACCTGACGCAAGTCATCTTTGGGGCTGTTGAAATTCCGGCTCGTGTCATCTGTCTTTTCCTGATGCAGTGGATAGGGAGAAAGAAATGCCAAGCGTGCTGTTTGCTTCTGGGCGGAGCAGTTTGCCTGCTCATCACAGTCATTCCAAAAAGTAAGCATCCACTTAAGAAATTCCTTGGCCGGCCCTGAGAGCTCTACTGAAACTTCCACAGCGTGCCTGGCTGGCTCTCTCGGGGGCCAGCCGTGCGTGCGCAGTGCATCAGCCCGTGGATGGAGAGATGCTGGTCATGAGATATATTTCTTGGTGTATCGGGAAGATTCAGGGGCAGAATTGGTCTCTGCACAGGGTTGCCAAAGATCTCTGACAATGCACGGACAACTAACCCTGGTTACCCCCTGCCCTGGCGGTGTTTGCCTGGCCCTTGCTCGGTCTGGAGGGGACTGCCTGAGAGCCACGACGGTTGGTTCCTAGGCCACATTGCCCAAAGAGAAGAAATGGACCATTGCAAAGACAGATTTGCATAAAATGCACTAATGTATATTTATTTATTTGTTTAAAAATCTTCTATGCCGTCCATTACTAAAAAAAAGTCTCTGCATGGCTTACAATGAAGGAAATGGTTATCTTGTTATGTGCCATCAAGTCATCTCTGACTTGTGGTGACCCTATTCATTTATTCATTGGATTTATAGCCTGCCTTCTTTGGTCACAAGGAACTCAATGTGGTTTACATCATTCTTCTCCTCCTGCTCTCCATCTAAGCCCCACAACAACAACCCTGTGAGGTAGGCTGGGCTGAGAGTCTGTGGCTGGCCCAAAGTCACCCAGGGGGTTCCATGGCTGAGCGGGGACTCAAACCCAGATCGCTCAAGTCCCAGCCCCGCGCTCTTAACCACTGCACCACACTGGCTCTATGAATGAAAGCCCTCCAAAAAGTCCAGTGCATCACAGCTTCGTTCAGCTATTCCTAGTCTGAGATTGTGGTTTCCTTCACGGATCCATCATGTATCAGGTTGATGCAATGAAGGACATGTCACTGCACTATGGAAAACCGTATGAACAGGAGACCTGCATGCCCACTGCCAAATCTGTTGTCCAGGTGGGTGAACAGGTGGTAGCCACTGGCAAGTCCACTGAGGGTGGATGAAGCTGAGCAAGCCAAAACTTAATCCAGACAAGGTGGAGGACCAGCCACCTGTCTGTTTGTACTGCCCGTGTGTTGCTGGTTTAGTTGCCATCTTCATCACAGGTTTATCTTTCTTATCTTTCTTGGATCGATATGTTTTATTGCTGCATGCCATGCTTCTTGACTTCTGCCCTGAAAGGCAGCCAAGAAATATGTTCATATCTGAATAAATACTTGATTGTTGGACTAGAGTAGTTGGAGAATCCACAAACGAATTTCAATTTCTTCAATTCTCACCCACAGATTCTATAGCAGACAGACTTTTTCCAAGTGACACAGATTTTGTAGACTTGTGGAACATTTTTAAAAATTGAATACGATGTGTAAATTTAGTGGTACCCTGCACAGATCCAAAATACACTTTTCTCCCATAGGCTAAAGTGTGAAAATGCAGATATGGTGTGGGATTTGTGTATTTTCCCTTTTAAAAAACATTTTGGGGATATTTGTGCACATTTGTATAAACTCATGTGTATTAGTGCTAAACACCCACACATGTATTACCACAAGTGAATTAGTGCAGGGAGGTTGCTGTGATCCTGCAACAGGCGTGATTTCACCAGCAAGCAGGCAACAGAAGGAAAGATGCTTGATAATGCAAATAAAATGGAATTAATGAAACCTGTGGACCCCTAGATTTGACTTCCCTTTTGCAATACCCAATGGGATCTGTGATTTCTTCCAATTCCCCCATTCTTCCATACTGGGTTCTCTGTGTTTTAAAACTGAATCTTTCTTCCCAGATTTGCCTGTGGTGGTAACAGTGTTGGCCGTCATTGGGAAATTCACTATTGCGGGTTCCTTCTCCACTTCCTATGTATATACTACGGAGCTGTTCCCAACTGTTGTCCGGTGAGGCTGCAACCTTAAAAAAAATTAAAAGTTAAATCAAATCAGCACTACAATATATTGAAAGGCAAAATTCTACACGTTTAGTCAGAGAGCAAAAGGCCTAGAATTCCCAGCATGCCCCAGCCAGCTCCCAGCATGCCCCAGCCAGCCTCTCTGCACCAGAGAAGGAGGCCAGGCTGTCTAGGGGACCTGGAAAGGCCAAATTTGGCCTTGGCATCAAGAAGCATTGAGACTCATTTCTGTGCTTCTCAGAGTGGGTGGACCAGTGTTATACTTCCGTAAACAAATGTTTCTTTGCCTCTCAGTTTCACCTGCTTCTGCATCTTCCTTCCTCCTCAGGCAGACTGGAAATGGGGTATGCCAGATGATAGCCAGGGTGGCTGGCATCATCTCGCCCCTGGTTGGCGTCTTGGAGAAGTTCCATGAGTCTATCCCTGTGGTGATATTTGGAAGCACTGCTATGGCTGGTGGGATCCTTTGCTTCCTCCTTCCGGAGACGTGCGGCAGGGAACTTCTGGATTACGTGGATGAAGTTGGGGGAGAGAACAGGTGTGTCCTCCTGGTGGTTCCACAGATAACTTGGCATTCTCTTGTCCCTTTGCCTCTGCAACGAGTAGAAAGCAAGCCTGGCCCCCGTAACACACTCGGTTGCGCCTCCCAGACAGATGGCAGCAAAGCTCTCTTCAAGGTGGCCTTTGAGGGCAGCGCAGCACTTCTGCTGTCGTATCCTGCCGTCAAAATGCTCGTGGTGACCACACGGTTTGGCCATATTTTGCTGCTTTTGCATCTGTTGTATTGATTTTGCGTTATTTTCTGGACAGACTTAAATGTGGTTGTTCCGTCCAGCGGGACGGGTGCAAGACCGCCTCCTGCCCAAGCTTCTGAGCAACTGGGGTGTGCATGCGTAGCGCCTCTGGTACGGGAGGGAGCCACTGATGGTCTCCTCCGTGAATTTGTCCAATCCCCTTTCAAAGCCATCCTCATGAGCGACCTGCAGTTGCAATTCATCCCTTGATGCTGCCTTCGTGAAGAGATGAGTGCGTGTGTGTGCATTTCTTGGCGCTTCAGTAATTTTCTAACAGTAAAAGTGGTTTGATGGCAGAACAAGCTGCCTCAGAAGTTAAGGATTCTCCTTTTTTGGATGCATCCGAGCTGAGGCAGGAGGGCCAAAGGAAGGTTGCCATCTTCGGCCTTCTTCCTTGAGTAGATTAGATTGAACGACCTCCAAGGTCTATTCTAGCTCTCGGACTGTGCAATTCTACGATTTCCAGCAGAATATTATAAAGAAAGAAATGTGTTCTTTCTCTCAAACCTTCTTTCCTTTCTGTAGAACCAGTAAGACAGTCAGCAAGAGCTTGGAAAATGGGCACTTCAAACCAACTGAAGAGAATGACCAAGGTGAAAAGACAACCGTGACGCGACTGTAGGCAGAAATTCCTCCAACACACCATGAAAGGCGACAGCAGACGAACCGGTGGGACATCTCACTATGAGCAAGGCAGATAAAAATCAGTGACATAAAACTCTTTTAATTGACTTTTTCTATCTATATTTGACCTTTTGTGTTAGGCCCGGCTTTAAAAATCTGGATATAGATTTCCTGGATGCAAGGAAACACATTAGAATCTACTCTCATGTTTTCAGCAATGTTTATAGGACTGCATTAGATCTGGTTGTTCTTTGTAAGGAATGCTCACACCCACACGGCTGTTAGCCTGCAGTGCTGTCCACCTGTGTGGGAGCAACCTGGTAGGCCTGACTTCCAGGAAGACAGGTTTTGGCGAGGAACTGCCTCTTGGCCAATGTTCGCATGGGCGGGCCCCAGTTCTCCGGAGTTTCGGTCGGGACTTCTTCCCTGGAGATGGAAAATTCTGCCTGCAGCTGCTGCGCGCTGTTATTGAGAGGGGCTAAACTGAATGAGGTCCCAGCCAATCGGGCAATTAGCACTTGTATGACTGACTTCTAAAAAGTCATTTGCAGGAGCAGGGACACCGTCAGAATTGGGATGTTGGTTGGAGGTAAGTAGAAGGGGCTTACATCCTTTGTCCCCCCCGCCCCCCCCCCACTTGCTGTAGTCCTGACTTGGAGCGTCCCCCATGCCTATGGTGTACTTTTACAAAGCAGCTTGGCCCGGAACTACACTCTCCTTCTGAGTAGCACATAAGGTTCCAGTCTGAGACTGGGTTCAGGCAATAGGATAACCCGCAGCTGAGTGTGCTAACCCAGGATTGAGTGTGTGTTCTTGCTGCGACTTGCATTCACGTGTGGTCTGAACCCAGCTGGGATAATCAACTGTAGTGAACAACCCACAGATTCACAACCCAAGAACAAGCCCTGCATTGGTTCATGGTTCTTCATAGGTTGCTTGTGGTTTCAGACAAGATGATAACTCAGAGTTCAACAACAACCCACACTCTACCCGTACTCAGCCGTTATGATGCTGTCTGAACCTGCACCCGTCCATGGTACAATATTATTCAATCTTCTCTCCCTTTCTTAGTTGTGCAGAAGACGTTGGAGAATATTGTTAAAAAATAAATCACTTCTTATGTTTCCTTGCGTTCTAGAGTGGTCATTCTTCAGATTTTGTGCGTCTCCAGGAGTTCAAGCCCTGAGTGGGCAGGAAGCATTTTGAGCCCTGTGTGTCTGTGTGTACAAATGAACACAGAGCTATGATTGTACCACATAACCCATCATTCCACATGCTGCAGGAGGGACATGATAGAAGAGTAGAAAATTAAGAACTTCTGTACTTGCCTTTCTCTGAACTAAAAGGCCCCAAAAGGCGTAACCTTTCCTGGCAGAGAAGTTGTTCCAGCTTCCGGATGATTTGGACTGTCCTTTTGTGGACCTTTTCCAGTTCTACAGTATCCTTGTTAAGGTGCAGGATGAGACCCATATGCAGCATTCCAAGTGTTTTTCTTCTTTCATAATCCTGAAAATGTGGGGACATCCAATCAAGTTGAAAGGTAGAAATGCAGGGCACAGTGCATGGTTAAATTATGGAATTAATTAGAGCAAGAGAGCCCCCAGTTTGGCTGGCTTTAAAGGGGGTTGGACACTTTCTTATTTATTTATTTCCATTTCTATGCGGCCCATAGTCCAAAGGCTCTCTGGGTGGCTTAGAAATGCTGAAACAGCATAGAATACATACATAGAATACAATAAAACAATTGATAATAAGATAAAATAGATAAAACACTGAAATAATAGATAACATTTCCTAATAAAATATACCCACACACACCAAGTAAAAACAGCTGATAATGTAACCAATGTTAAATTAATATAATCAATAATAGAATATAAAAGTATTAAATTAAATTAGCCAAAAACTTGTTCAAATGAAAAGTGTTCACCTGGTGCTTGAAAGGAAGCAGAGTTCACACCAGCTGCGTATCTTGCAGCAGCTTCTACATGGGCATCCTGTTTGTAGCAGAGTGGAATATCGACTCGTATCTGCTCAAAATAATGCCCAGTGTCCAAGTCAGTACGCTTCTGTCTGCCAACGGATGGGGCACATGGGTGGGAGAGTGCTGCTGTGGCTTCCCATAGACCCTGGGCGGCCACGGTGCAAACAGAATCCTGGCCTGGGAAGACCGATTATGGTCCAGCTGGGATTGAGCTTTCCAAGGGAGATGATGGGAAAAGGGCAGGGGGTGGCCCCCAAGCCCACTCCTATGCCTGTTGCGCTCTTATAATTAGCACTGGGCAACTTGTCTGAGGAGGCAGCAGGTGCTGGATTGGCAGATAGTGATCTCAAGGAAGCAGGGCAGGCCCGGTCCAGGGCGTGTTGGCTTCTCGCTAAGGTCACATGCGCTGCAGCTCCGGTGTGATCCTGGCTTCCTCCCGGAGTCTCTCTCCAGCAGTGGCCCTTTCTGTCCTTTCTTCCGGAGGGGGAGGACTAGGATGACCCACAAGTAAGTAGTACTGGAAATGGAAATGTTTGCGTGCTGCTGGGGGGCGGTGGGCAGGGTGTGAAAGTCGCATCCGGCCTCTGGCAGGCGCGATGAATTAGTGGGTTCACTTTTCTGGGGGCTCTGGAGATGGCATGGCCTTCTCCGGGTATGCACGGACACTTGGGAATACCGCTGGCTCAGGAACAGGCCTGGAGAGAGACCCAAATGTGCCTGCATCGGGGAGCAGCTTTCCGGAGAGGGGGGCCTGTCGGACTGCCCACTGCCTGGATTTTGGAGGGTGGGGAAGGCCGTTTCAGCAAGTGCGCTCCCCTTTTGCTGCGGGGCTTGGCTTGTGGATTATTGTGCACTCTCTTCGTAGTTCAGTGCAGAAGGGTGGCAAACGAGGCAGAGAGAGGTGCTGGGGACCTTGCCTGAAGGATATGGGATGGACTTGTTGCAAGTTTGCAAGTCGGGAGAGGAAATAGCCAACGTGATTTGGAAAGTCTAGATAGGGATCACGGCTTTCCCAAACTCATGCTTCGACTGATATTCAGTCTGAGGTTTTCTTCCAGGACATGGTCTTAATTCAGCTTTCCACAGCTGCGTGACCTCCAGAGGTGCTGGGCTACAAATCCCAGCAACCCCAGCCAACCTGTTGGGAGTTGTAGTCCCACACATCTGGCAGATCCCAGGTTGGGAAAAGCTGCATGCGGTTCAGCTCTTAAAGTTCTGCATAAGGAACAGCTCCAGTGCGCCACCCCCCGTGTCGATGGCCTCATGTGAGGGTGTCACATTAATTAAATATAATTGACTGGTGGATTGCCCATGGAGTTGTTTGTGGGGTTGAACGAGTTTTGGATCAATGGGTTGTTCCTCTCTCCTCGTGCCAAGGATGACTGCTCTTGGATGCGCCCCAGCCCTGCCTTAGCAGCAAGGCACTGAAGACTTGGACCATTCTTCTGACACAAAGTGTTTACACACACCTGTAGTCTGCACATGAGAAAGTGCTTCACAGCTTTAAAACCTCAGAAAGGTTCCTGCTCCCTGTTGAATGGCCATCTTACCAGAGTCAGGCCAGGTCTTTTGGGGGAAAAGGGGACATCTCTGCCCATCGCCTGGGCCTTTGGGGGCCATCCTGGCTCTCACTGAAACATTTACCGGGCATGGTACCTTTGTCAACTCTTACGAGACCGCCTGTAGAGACCCACAATCCTAACTCCACTGGCAGAAGTCTTACCAGGCAGTGCTTACCTGAGTGGGAAGGGCTCTGAATCTCTCTCCGCTCACAGGTCCTGGGCTGTAAGGGAGACCTGGAGGTCATTTAGACCAACCCCAAACCCATAGAAGTGCTGCTATGTTACTAAGGGTATTTTCAGAGGAGATCTTGATTGGTTAAGGTGAAAAAGATGGAACACCTGCCCCATGTTTTGTAAGTGCTAGTGCTAGGAGCCCTTCATCTAGAAGCATCCTAAATGCTAGTATGTGAGACTGCCTTTTTCCTCCTCCATCCCAATCCCTTTTCCTTTTGTGCTGTGTCTTTTACACTAATGGCCAGAGAGTAGTAAGGGACAGGGATCTTATTCTTTGGCCTTTTCCCACATCTGGCTTGTAAAAAAGTGTCAAGAGTCATCAAGCACAAAAAGTGTACAGAAATACTAATTTCTTCTGTAACAGATACAACAACTTGCCATCAGCTTGTCATGACAAATGATACAGAGCAGTCTTCTCCAACCAGCTGCCACCTAGAAGTTTTGGACTAAAGCACCCATCTGCCCCAGGCTGGGTGGATGGGGTTGATGGGCACTGTAGTCTTAACATCTGGAGGGTGCCAGGTTTGGTAAGGCCTTTATTCAGGGACTAAGAAGAAGCCTCTTACACACAGTGTCAATCTAATATCTGGGCACCAGATGGGCAAGAAAGAGACAAGAATAAAGACAGCCACTTCATAAACCAGGGATTTATTTAAACGTTGCTCATTTAGGCTAAACAAAATTGCCCTGTCCTCTCTTGCTGTCTAAGCGCAATTCCCAGCTCAATAAACCCATTTCTGTTTGCAATTCTAACACAACATGTTAGATGTTACTTTACTCAGATGAAAGTCCTGCCCTTTGCAACAGATTGCTTGGGATTTGCAAGCTCCAGTACTCAAAGCTGGAAGTGATCAGCGCCCCCCGCCCCCGCTTCACAATCCGCCTTGCAGGACAACAGAAGACATGGACGTTTGCCACTGATCCGCACCCAGCAAGAGGAACTGTGTCCCCAGAACAGGGGACCCAAGAGGGCATCTTGCATCTGTGCAGATCCTTTGCACACTATGATTTTATAGGCAGAAATGCAAGTTGAGAAAAAAATGACTAAAATTTAAATGAAAATGCCAACTGGGCAACTCTCAGACTCTCAGTCCAACCGACCTCACAGGGTCGTTGTTGCGAAGATAAGATGGAGAACTGGAGGAGAATGATGTAAGCCACTTTGAGTTCTTTAAAAGAAAAAAAGGTGGGATATAAATCTAATAAATAAACGTGCCAGGAGAAAGGCTAACCCACACCGTCCCCCTGCCACGCAAACACCCGTGTCATCTGCACTTCTTCTACATGCATTCTGTGGAACCATTTGCTCGTCTCCCACCTCAAAAAAGAGAATGGGAAAGGGCTGCTGTTCAGTTCCTTTTTACCCCGTTGACAATTTTTTCTAAGTCGCTTTACTGCTCATAAAAACATTACTATTATATATTCTGATTGGAAGCTGCCTACAGTGGTCAGAAAGAGGAGGAAGGCATATCTAATTTATGTGGTTTTATTTATTGTTGTAAGCCGCCCCGAGGCTTCGGCGAATGGGGAGGCATAAAAATGTTTTAATAAATAAATAAATAAATATTGCATTATGAACAGATCAGCCCCCACTGGCATTGTGACCACCCGCTGTAGCTGGGTGCAAATACCTATCCGCATAAATACATTAGACAGCTGGCTGAGCATTCTCTTATCAGGGAACAGAGAGTGCTTTCTAGCCTCGCATTTCTGCAGGAATTGCCCTGTCAGCTCCAACTTTTACCTGTGCAGATAAAAGGTAATGTAATTAGCTGACTGAGGATTCCTTGATAGCAAGCAGAGGCTGCAGATTTCATAGTTATGTTACACTGATCCCATGGGAAGGATTTCAGCCTCATAAAGAACACCAGAGCCATGACACCCCTCTCGTTATTCAGTCACACATCCAGGTACATCACTAAGTCGGGGTGAACCTTGCCAATTTTTGCCCTGCCAAATTTGCCACCCAAACTCTTACCTGTCTTGCATCTGAAGTGAAGCAAAGCCTAGACCCAGGTGAGGTGCTGAGCGCCCAAAAAAGCCGAGGCTCAGGCCCGCAGGACAGAAAAAAGCACACATTTTCACACGCTGATTTATATATGCTCAGATTTCCCTCTGTGTCAGCTCCCTCTCAGCCCGGCCTACCTCAAAGGGTGGTTGTTGTGGGGAGAAGATGGAGAGCAGCAGGAGAACAACGTTAAGCTGCTTTGAGTTCTTTAAAAGAAAACAGGAGGGATATAAATTTAATAAATACATGAATAGATAAAACCTCATCTTAAGACCTGTATCCTTTTCCAGATGAAACAGAAACATAAAGTCAGCATCTAACACTTCTGCAGGGATTACTTAATGATAAGCAAATGATATGTTTCCTGGGAAAGCTTGGTTTAAATATTGGCATCTCTAGCCAAGGCAGGATGGCTTCTATAAGTTTATCGGAGGACAAAACCGGATTAATTATTCACTCCCTCTAAGTCTTAATTATGTTTAAACATTAATTCTAGCCCATGCACAGGGTGAAGATACAGACAGGCTCCTGGAGAACCCAGAATGACGGGGTTTGGAGACATCTTGAAGGCGGTCGGAGAGTTTGGCAGATTTCAGAAATGGCTGGTGTTGCTGATCTGCATCCCAAATTTCCTCACCCCCTTTCACATGTTTGGCCAAGTATTCCTAGTAATGGACGTGCCACACCACTGCAACACCAGCTGGATCCGTGCAATCAGCCCGAACCTGACCAAAGAGCAGGAGCTGAACTTGACCATTCCCAGGAAGCCAGATGGATCCCTAGAGGAATGCCTGATGTTTACTCCTGTGCAAGCAGATATTGACTCCATCATAGAATACGGACTCAATGGCACCGAAAAGTGTCAGGATGGCTGGGTTTATCCTGCAGGACTAAAACCAACTTTGCTAACAGAGGTGGGCCCCTTCCTTCCTTCCTTCCTTCCTGCCTGCCTGCCTTGCTCTCTCTCTCTCTCTCTTCAAATAGATTGAAATACTGTGTCCATATTTAAAAACAGAGCTCTCATATGTCTCTAGAATGTTGCATGTCTGAAGGATTAGGAGATACAAAGGGATCCAAAGGAGATGAAAAGAAATCAAGAGATTCGAACATATTTGGGACCTCGGAGAGCATTAAAAATGCATAATAATGGACAAGTTGGGGGGTAAAAAATCTACATTGTATTGTTGGATGTGTGCACTTCCCTTCAGCCCTAGTGAGCATAGATAACAGTGAGGCATGATGGGAGTTGTAGGCCAAAACACCTGGAAGTCCATTAGTGGCTCTTCCTTGCTTTGGGGAATGAGGCATGCGGAACTCTGGTCCCTAAGTCCCCTCTTAATGCAACTGAGGTGGTAAAGCAAAAAGTTGGGGAAGATTAGGGGAGGATGGAGTGTGTGAATGTGTGAAGCAGAACCTTTGGGCTGCCCCGGGGTCTGTGTTAGTAGCCACATGTGTTGCCCAGATGTGTGTGTTGGTGAGAAAAAGTCCACAAGCCACATCTCAGCAGTGGTACCTCTGTCTAAGAAGAGATGTTGGCAGTCAGGTGCCCTCTAGTTCTTTGGGACTACAATACCTATCAATCTTAGCCAGCATGGAGGTCAGGACTGATGGGAGATGCAGTTCAAAGCAGTTGAAGGACCCCAGGTGTCTACTGCTCCTGAAGACAATAAGAAAAGCCCTCTGAGATGAGGCCAAAAGTCCAACACACTGATTGTTCATTTTCACCCAGGGTAGCTAACTGTGTTCGAAAGAAGGGTGGTAGAGCACCAGCTTTGCACGCAGAAGGCCCTGGGTTCAAGTCTTGAATCCCCTCTTGAAAAGAATCAGGAGATAAAGAAAGTCCCTGAGACCTTGGATAGCTGTCTCTGGTCACAGCTGATAACATCTGGAAAGAGGTTGACTTAGAATAAACCAGTAATCTATCTTGTAGCAAACTTCTTCAACCTGGTTACATTCAGATGTTTTGGGATACAGGTCCCATCATCCCTGCTCATGCTGGGAAATTTAGTACAACGTATTTGCAGGCTACCATGTCGGGGGAAATTGTTTCACAGGAATGCCAACCCAGAAACTGCCAGATCCAGTGTTCTGTTGTTGTTATCATCATGTATTTATCTGTTTATTTACCATCAATAAATACCATAGATATTTATTATTCACCATAGATAAAGTATATTGCCCTCCAATGTAATTTTTTAGACTATCTTAGATTGTATTTTTTAAATAAGTTTTATTTGAATTATAATCCTAAAAAACAACAAACTACAAACAACATCCATCATCAAAAAAAAAAAAAAAATCGAGCCCGCTGGGTCAGCCCCCACACCCTTCTTTTCCCAATTATAATGACTTTAAAAACATATTTAAATCAATGCAAAGTCCCATTTCTCTAGCCAATAATAAAAAGAGTCCCAAGTTTGATAGAAGTCAATATCTTCCTTCTCCTTCAATGATAAATTCAATCTATTTCTGCACAGTCCAGGATTTTTTTTTCTTAGATTGTATTTTTAAGCAAGTGTCATTTTTAACATTTACGTTCCTATTGTTTTTGCTTGTATTGGTCCTATTTTTTTTATGGTAGTTCTGGCCTATGGTGTCTCCTGTGATAATAGCAGGCACAACTGCATAGAAAATGGCAGAAAAGGAAAGATGAGGCAAGGTGAGGAAAAGACAAGGGTCATGCACAAAATGCAGCCTGGAAGTGAAATGAAAAGGGCTCTTGTTTTCTCTTCCTTTAGTTTAACTTGGTCTGCGACCGACAAGACCTAAACGACTTCTCCCAGTCTATCTATATGGCAGGCCTTCTTGTGGGAGCCCTGGTCTTCGGCCCACTGAGCGACAGGTAATATTTTCCAAGTTGTGTTTGTGCCACTTTAGATCTTTGCACTGCTGTTGGCTTTTCTCTTGGTTACTGCTTTGGCCTTATTCTGCTGCAAGCATACAGTTTTGATATGACATTTTCAAATAATACTGCATTTTATGACCTAAGCGTCATCTGGCAAATTGTCCAGGCAGCTTCAGCTGACAATATAGGAATAGAAGAAACAAACAGATAAATCGATAACTGCACAGAGCAAATTAAAGAAAATAGCTTATTAGCAAAATCTGAATTGGAGATTGGAGGGATTTATCCTTAGATTCTTTTCTATTTTCTTTGAAAACAGACACACGGTTTTTTATGCTCCAGGATCACCCTTTCAAAACACCCTGCCCAAAACACCTCGAGTCTATCCATCATTTTAATTTCCCACAAAGCCTCAGAGTGATGCTTTATCAAGGGCATTGTGGGTGATCAAAATGGCAGCTAAACACAACTGCTCTGTGCTACTGGGGGGAAGAGAAATAAGGAGGGAGGTTCCAGGGCAGAGATCTGGCAGTTGTTGAAGGGTATCATTTGCCCTGGTACAGAACACAGTATCCCAGAATGCAGCGTTTCAACTTTCCTTTAAAAATTCAAATTTCTAGCCCCTGTGAAGTTAGACTTTCATATGCAAAGCCTGATGAAAGAAGCCAGAGGAGAGACTGAGTGAGTCTGAGCCAGAGACACTGATACCTTGCCAGATCCTTAGCCTGGGCTACGAATGAACTAGCAGAACACGTGCCATTTCTGAGAACGCTTCCCGTTCTTCCAGTTGTTCATGGAGAGTGGGCAGCTATTACTGGGTGTGCCTTAAAGACTGAAACACACTACTGGATGTTGTGTCCCACAATTTTACAGATGAGACCAGAGAGAGAGAGAGAGAGAGAGAGAGAGAGAGAGAGAGAGAGAGAGAGATATTAAGAGGAGTTTTTTTATTACCTGCACAGGGACCAGCACCCTCACACAAAGATGGGATGAGTGCGGGCCCCCAGTAGAGGGACAGCGGGGTTTTTATACCTTGTTACAAACAAAAGGAAAATTGTTATTGGCATCCTAAGCGAGCTAGCATAATACAGAAGCGAGACGGTTTGCGGTTAGTCTACATTTTGATACAGAAGCGGAGCGGTTTGCAGTTGGCCTGTCCTTTTAAGTTTTATGCCTTTGATAAACCTTGCCCATTTTCTGAAGTAACACTCTGTATACGCCTGGGACAACTGATAAACCTCCTATTAGGCTTATTTAATACACAAAGCCTCCCATTATGCTGACTCAATACACAAAGCCTCCTATTATGCTGACTTTAGTACACAACTGATACCATTCTATTATGCTAATCTTGTGCCAGGTGGGTCGAGCCTAACACTGGAAGCAGAGACTCTTGTGCTGATGTTACACCTTTTCCCAAGAGAACCCGTGGAGAGCCACCTGAATTGTCTTAGGAATTGTTTTGGCAGCACAAGCTTCCTGTGCTGGAATGGCCATCCTTGGCCATTAAAGCCAGGCGGGGCTAGCTGCCAGCCAGGCTCCATTGAGTTCTATGGGGCACAGCAAAGGAGCTGCGATTTGCACAGCCAGTGGGGAGGGCCTCAGAGGAGTAAACATGTCTCCCAACTGGGATCAGCAAGGGCAGGTTGAAGCCCCAGTGCAAGTGATTGGGACACCCCCCTTTTTCCCATCTAAGCACAAGGGTGGCCTTGTACTCCAGCAAGGAAACTACCCGCCTCTTTCACTGCCCGAACCTGGCATATCCTAAATAGAACATTAATGTGGATAGGAAGGGGGAACATCTGTTGTGGAGCACAAAGGGTTTTTGTAGAAGGTTCCAGATTTGATTCCCGATATCAATAAGCCAGATGAGTGAACATTTCTCCCCAAGACCCAGGAGAGCTTTTCCTGGTCTGTGTTGACAAAATTGGCCTGACTGGACCAAGGACCTGACTGGAAATAAATAATCAGGGTTCCTGTGCTGCCAAGTTGCTCACACGCAAAATGCTACTGCAGAGTTCTCCCTCCACGATCTGCCATCGTAATGATCTTCCCTGCACTGCAGAAGCGCCTCAGGCGCACAGGTGGGCTGCCAAGCACCAGGGACCGAGTGCAACGACAACTGGATGCGACCCCCCAAGTGTGTGAGCAGCTGATGAGGAAGAATCCAAGTGCAGAATCAGCCTGGGAAAAGGCAGACTAGGGCTCCCCTCTGTGGATTTTCTAGCCCATCTCACCCCATCTTGGTACCACCTTTCCCCAGGAAAAGCCACTGTGGGGCTTTTGGGACATCGTTATATTCCTGCCTGCCTGATAATACTGATTCTATTGCAACTGCAGATGTGAGGCATGCTTGGACCTCCATCTTGCAGACTGACCCATGTCTGTGTTTCCTTCCTCCAGGATCGGAAGCCGGTGGTCCATCTTGCTCACCCTCCTGATTATGGGCTCCTTTGGCGTTGGGGCAGGCTTCGCACCCAGTTTCTCTGTCTACATCGCCCTGAGATTCCTCGTGGGAGCTGCTTTTGCTGGGATCAGTATAAGCATGGCGGCTTTAAGTATGATGCCCCACTTTCGTCTGTGCCATCCAAAGATGGCTTTTGCTACTCCAGGGATGTCAAGCCAAAGGCAGCCTCTCTGTGGTCCCAGCCTGGTGCCCCAGAGTTTTCCCGGAAGGCTTGGGAGATTCCTATCTTAAGGCCTCTTTCCGGATTGCAAGAACTTTAAATTAAATCATGCTAGTCTTTTTAGCATTTTGGCCTCATTGCTTTGCCTCTGGGGCTGCCTCTTGCTGGAAGAGAGATTTATCCAAACGGAAAATCCAGTTTGCAAAAATGTTGTCCCTCCCCAGCTTGTCTCCCCTCTCAAACTAATGCCGTATGAAGGGAATTGCCAAGGTACCAGCTCGCCTCGCAGGACAGAAGCGGCTCTACCACGGAGATGCTGATGATATAATTTCATTTCTCTACCACCCTGTGGCCGAGGCTCTCTGGGAGGTTTGCAACAATGCATAAAAACAAAGCAATAAAATACAAATATCAGAAAAACAAAGCAGCAATACATAAATAGAAAGGAGCCAAAATATACCCTAAACAGACCTGTAAAAGGAAAAATAAAATAGCCCAGGAGAGGAACTGCTGGTGTGGGGAAGCTTAGCTACCAATTTAGGACATATAGAGTCAAATCCTGCCAATTTCTGGTCCTGGGACATGGAAAGTGAACCAGAGGAGAGGCCTTTGCTAGGCAAGGAGAACTGGCCTCAGGGGAAGCCTGATAAAAATTGTGGTCAGAGCTGTGAATCCAAAGGTCTTGCAAACTGGGGTCCTGCCCCCTCCCCTCCTTTTTTGCAGCTCTGGCTTGCCTCTGCCCATGCAGCTAGTGGTGGAGCTAGTGATAATCTGGCTCACCCAGGGGTATCCAGAAGCTGCCTGAAGGCGTGACATGTTCATTATGGATTTCATAGGGGGCCTATGGCCAATGGGGCAGCATATAAATTGATTACGTATATATGCAAATAAATACACTCCGCTCCCGCCCCGTGCATTGGAATGATGCTGCTCCAGGCGGTGCACTTTGGGATGAGAGGCCAACCCTGGTTTATCTGCATGGATGAGCAGCTCCTGCCCTTGCTGAGGGATGCTGTCCATTCAGTGGTGGATGTGCAGTGGAAATTGCGCTGGGCGGTCATTAGAGAGCACATCCCCCGCGGGGCCTTCCTCTGAATGGCATCTCCAGAGGAGGCCGAGCGGCAGCTACAAAGAGCAGGGCCTTCTCTGTGGTAGCCCCCACATGGCAGAATAAACTCCCCACTGAGTCCTGCCTGGCACCAACCTGGCTGTCTTTCTGGAGCCAGGTTAAGACCATGATTTGCCGAAGCATCTACAAACTCTGAGGAGCAGATGGGCACCCGCTAACATTGCCTGTTGCTTTTTTTAAAAAAAGCAGTTCTGGTCTTAGTTGGGTCAGTTGTTAAAATCTGGCTTCATATTTTTAGTGTGATTTTATTGTTATTTTTACTATATATTTTATTTCATCAAATTTGTTAACTCCTGTATGCCATCCAGAGAGCATTGGCTAGTTGTGGGGTGGCGATTGGGGGTGGATCGTAAGGAACGAAATGAATGAATAAATGCACAAACTCTTTTGCTGAGGTTTTGTGATCTTTGTGCTGATTAAACGTAGCTTGTAAATGAAAGGTTGGATCAGCCAGAAGGGAGGGCTCTTGGTGCTTTGCATGGGGCTTCTGCATCCTCAGAACTAACTGTAGCCTGTATTCCTTTAGGTTCTGAGTGGGTCGGGGCTTCGTATCGCCCGCTGGCGCTGGTCATCACCCACTGCTGCAATGCCCTGGGACAGATGGCTCTGGCTGGCTTGGCGTACTCCATTCGCGACTGGCGGCTCTTTCAGATCGCTGGCTCTGCTCCTGCTTTCGCGCTCTTTTTTTACATATGGTGGGTGTGCACAAGCCCCCCCCTGATTATTTTTTTTTTAATTTATATCCTGCCTTTTTCCTGCAAAGGGCTCAAGGCAGCTTACATCTCCTCCTCCATCTTATCCCCACAACAACAACCCTGTGAGGTGGGTTGGGCTGAGAGTCTGTGACTGGCCCAAAGTTGGCTCCATGGCTGAGCGGGGACTCGAACCCGGATCGCCTGAGTCCCAGTCCCAGCTCTTCACCACTACGCCACACTGGCTCTAATATGGTGTCAGAATGAACTGTACCCAAGCAAAGTTGGACAAGGATAAGAGCTCACTCCAGCCACTGTTTTAAAGTTTACTGTTTTTTAAAAATAGGGATAGGGGAAAAAACATACTCTTTTCACATCTTAATATACACTTGCCTAACTTTGCACCCCATGCATTGAAACTTGATTACGCTTCAGGAGTGGCACTTCTCCAAATCTTGAAATGGAGTTTTCCAGTCCAAAAATGTGTATATTATTAGCAACTTCAAAATGTAGTATATTTGGGTAATGGCTTGCAGAATTTGCAGATTAGGCAAAATGCAAACAAAAATGCATGTGAATTTGCATGTGAACATACAAAAACTCTCAATGTTTGGGTCGACTGGAAAAATGAGAAATGGAGAAAATCCAAAATTGACGTGTCCATCCCTAGTTTTAAGATCTGGCAGGGACTGGGTGTGAGGCCACCATCTGTCTGAAACAGGGCCTTTTCTGTTGCTGGCCTCAGTCGAAGTTTTCTCCAGGACATATACTCCGGTCATGGGGAATGCGTAATTTCTCCTTTTGGCTGGGCCTTTGAAACAGAAGCTCTTGCTGATGGAGGACTAAAACAATGCTGTGAGTGCGATAGCCCCCTGGCACCGACTGGAGAACTTACACCTACTGGAGGTAGGCTAGAACCATCAGGACTAGTAGCATTAATAGCCTTCTCTTCCACGAATTTGTCTAATCCCCTTTGAAAGCCACCCAGTGTTCTGGCCATCACCACATCGTCCATCGTGGATGCCACAGTTTCCTCATGTGCCGTGTGAAGTTGAGGGCAGAGGAGGCCGCCTGGCTTGAGTCCACTGCACAATGGTGCAAATTTGAAATGACCATGGCATTGTATGCCCTGTGCACCATCACAGAATTTGATACAGGGTGAAGGATTTAACATTTATTATTATTCAGGTCGTTTTAGAGTACCCGGCCATTTAATGCCATTCCCCAAGTGGTTTACAAAATCGAAGTCCCCTCTGCCTCTTTTAATCAGCAAGTTTCTAGTTCCTATGGTTGCCAGAATACGCTGAAAGAAGAATGTGGAAAACGCACTGGGAAATCTCAGAAGCCACATTCAGGAAGTACTTTATAGAAGAGGACATTTCTGGGATTTCAGTGCTTGACATGTGGGGTTTTTAAACTTTTCTATGATTAGCAGAAATAGCTAGACAATTTTTTCAAAACCAGTATATTTTGTTAATTTGCAAAATGTATTCAGACGCCAAAACTCAAGGTTTTTTTTAGGGGAGGTGGCATAAAAATGTGATATTTTAAAGGATAAGAACTTACAACCTTGGACTTTTATGCTGGTTTGCAAATTAACAGAAATCAGTGTAAAGTAGGAAACAGTCTTTCCATAGATGCAGGAAGAATCATATTAAAGTTATTGTGTCTTTTCCCTGGAATGGCAGAAACTGGAGTTTGGAATTTGGTTTCCTTTGTGCATAAGCGTGCCTTTGTTCTGACCAGTTCAGCATTTACCGATGTTTCCTTGACAGCGCCACTGGCCATGAAAGGTTGCAATAGCTTATCGGCTTTACTGGATCAGAGCGTGGCATGCCCTGACCCCTCGCTGCCCTTTTCCATGCTTTTTGAACTCTTCTTCTTCCCAGGGTCCTTCCCAGCTCTGCCCGGTGGCTTGTCACAAGAGGAAAGATCAAGGAAGCCAAAAAGGTGCTCCAGAAGGCCGCCTCCATCAACAAACGAACCATCCCGGAAGAACTGCTCAACCAGGTGTCAAAAGGCTGGGATTTCTGTTCCTTGTTTTCAGAAAAGGTCTGGGGTGTATACGGTGCACATTTGCAGAGATATATTATCAGCACCGAAGACATAGGAATCCCACCTCAACTTCCAGGCTTCCCTGTCTCCTCTCTTCTAAAATGCAACCTGCCCAGTAGCTGGGAAAAAGCTAATTTCTCAGAAGCCGTATAAAATTCCTTGCAGAAATGCAACATGTTTGAAGGCAGCCTGGCCCGGAAGGGCCACTAAAGACCCAGCAGCTAGGCCAAAGACCTGCTTGTGATCCCCATGAAAACTAGGAGCACAGGTTTGCTGACAGACAACAAGAAATTTGAATTATGGGAAAGGTGACTTCTGGGACTGTCATGATGAGCTGCACAGAAAAAGGTGCTCAAGGAAGGCTTTTTCAAAATCGCCAATTTGAATAGAACACAAACCCTATATTAAGGTTAGGGGCGTGTACCACAGTAGGGTTAGGGCAAGGAAAGGGAGGTGTCCGGGCAAGGTTTTGACGGTCAGAATATATTTAGAATGAGGGGAAATGATGAGCTGTGCAAAAAAAGCTACTCAAGGAAGGGTTTCTCAAAATCGCATTATTTTCAAACAAACTTCAACCTTATATTAGGGTTAGGGGTGTGCACCAGGTTAGGATTAGGGTTAGGGTTAGAAAAACGAGGTGTCCTGGCAAGGTTTTGACGGTTGGAATGTGTTTAGAATGGGCAGAAATGATGAGCGGTGCAGAAAAAGCTACTCAAGGAAGGCTTTTTCAAAATCGCATTATTTTCCAAAGAACTTTACCCGTATATTAGGGTTAGGGGTGTTCACCAGGGTAGGGTTAGAAAAACGAGGTGTCCTGGCAAGGTTTTGATGGGTGAAAGGTGTTTGTATTGGGCAGAAGTGAGGAGCAGTGTGAAAAAAGCTACTCAAGGAAGGCTTTTTCAAAATTGCATTATTTTCAATAGAACTTTACCTGTATATTAGGGATAGGGGTGTGCACCAGGGTAGGGTTAGGGTTGGAAAAATGAGGTGTCCTGGAAAGGTTTTGATGGTTGGAATGTGTTTAGAATGGGCAGAAATGATGAGCGCTGCAGAAAAAGCTATTAAATGTATATCTTTTCAAAATTGCCACTTGCAATAGAACTTTCCCCTGTATTATGATTAGGGATGTGAACCAGGGTAGGGTTAGGGTTAGAAAAACGAGGTGTCCTGGAAAGGTTTTGATGGTTGGAATGTGTTTGGAATGGGCAGAAATGATGAACTGTGCAGAAAAACTATTTCAGTGTAGAATTTTTCGAAATTGCCACTTTCAATAGTACTTTCCCCTATATTAGGTTTAGGGGTGTGCAGCAGGGTAGGGTCAGGGTTAGAAAAACGAGGTGTCCTGGAAAGGTTTTGATGGTTGGAATGTGTTTAGAATGGGCAGAAATGATGAGCTGTGCAAAAAAAGCTACTCACGGAAGGGTTTTTCAAAATCACATTATTTTCAATAGAACTTTTCCATGTATTAGGGTTAGGGGTGTTCAGCAGGTTAGGGTTAGGGTTAGACAAACGAGGTGTCCTGGCCAGGTTTTGAAGGTTGGAATGTGTTTAGAATGGTTCGAAATGATATGTGCCGAAAAATTACTAAAGGAAGGCTTTTTCAAAATCCCATTATTTTCAATAGAAATTTCCCTTTATATTACGGTTAGGGGTGTTCAACATGGTAGGGTTAGTGTTTGAAAAACGAGATGTCTATGCAAGGTTTTGACAGTTGGAATGTGTATAGAATGGGCAGTACTGATGAGTTGTGCGGAAAAAGCTACTATGGGAGGGTTTTTTCAAAACCGTCCCTTTCTATAGAACTTTAACTGTATGTTCGTGTTAGGGGTGTGCACCCGGGTAGGGTAAGGCCCGTGGTGGCGATCCTATGGCCTTAATGACACAGCGGGCATGCAGAACTCTCTCTATTGGAATGAGATCAAAGTCTCCCGAGCATTGCCCCAGCAGCTGAGCTTCAGACAACTGCACACACAGGGGCCATGGAGATGCTCAGAAAGGTGTCGCAGTGCCCGTGAGTGACCTCAGGTGCCGTGACTCATTTGCCGTGACTCATCCGAGCTTTTGCATAGCCGGTCCATGTGCTCTCAAGGATGTATATATAAATTTTGCTTGGACTGTCTGAAAGTTGTTGTTTCTTAACTTAAACCTCCATTTTCAGGTTTTATTGAAGTGTTGTCACTTTGTGATGAATAAGCTGGTTTTGGTTTGCAGTTTGGGCATTCGGTCTCTAAAAAGTTTCGCTGTCACTGCACTTCGAATTCAAGCGGAATGTGCCCTAACATCCTGTTGCTGGTGTGATGCAGAGCCCAGGGTGCTGAAGAGACCTTGGACTCTGGTTGACTTCCGACTCTCTTTGGCTTTATAAATTTTGCAGCTCGCTCCAGAGGAGAAGGCAAAATCTGGAAATGTACTGGATCTTTTCAAGAAGCGACACCTTAGACTTATGACTTTTATCATGGCCTGGATCTGGTAAGTCTGCCAAATTGGCTAAATCATTAAGAAGCATTTTGTGTATTTTTTTTAAAAGCAAGCAGTTGTTCTCGGCTTGCTTTTAAAAAATTGATGTTTTTTCAGTTTGTGAGTTGGATGAACTCTGTGAACTGAGCATATCTGCATAGTTTCTCAAAGCTCACACTATTTACTCTATAGTTGTCTTTCTTTTCTGTAGTATTTATTTACATAATTCACCTTCTCTCCATTTTATCCTTCCAATAACAACCTTGTGAGGTAGGTTAGGCTAAGTGTTGGTGACTGGCCGAAAGTCACCCAGAAGGCTTCATGACAGAGTGGGGTTTAAAAGACAGGACTCAGGACTCCTTGTCCAACTCTCCCACCAGAACACCACACAGGCTCCTGGTACAGAGAAGCAAAAAGCATGAGGTCTAGGAACTTACTCTTTCTTTCGTTTCAAGTGTAACTTCTCAGGGAGCTGAGTCCTGCACCCAGGACCATGTTCTGCTCTCCTGCAAGACTGCAGCCTACATTGAGCTCTATTTCTAAATAGCTTGACATTTCGTGACGGGTTTGGGTGGACCTGGAATTAAAAAGGAGAAGCAGTAAAAGCGTGAGAGATGATACCTCCTTATTTTGTCCTCAGGTTTGCTGACAGTTTGGTTTACTACGGCGTGAGCCTTCACGTTGGGGATTTTGGCTTGGACATCTACATGACGCAGCTCATTTTTGGAGCAGTGGAAATCCCATCCCGCTTCTCTTGCATTTTCCTGCTCCAGTGGCTGGGCAGGAAGAGGTGCCAGGCTGTTTGGCTTCTGCTGGGTGGAATAGTTTGCTTGCTTATTCCTGTTATTCCAAAAGGTACACAATCATTTGCAAAGTCTCCAGGCAGAACATGGGAAAGGGTCTTCTTAGGGCCTGTCCCCAGACTCTGGAACGTCCTGTCTAGGGAGCCAGCCTAATTCTGTGTTGTTTCTGGGCACCAAAGACAAAAAGGCAGGCTATTGGCCCCTACGTGGCTTTCCCCCCTGCACTAGCATTTTCCTGATGGGCATCATTTATTTTTTATTTCTTTTAAACTGTGTTTAATTGACGGGGCTATGTTGTAATTTTGCTATGTTTATCAGTATTAAATAACTTTAATGGAAAGATGGGTTCTAAATTAACCAAGAGTGTGATCCTATGCAGGTTTAGGCAGGAAAAAGCCCCACAGTTTCCAGCTGTGGCATGCTGGGAATTGTGGGGCTTTTCCTGCCTAAACCTGTATAGAAATGTACCCTAAATAACTCAGACCTAATCCAGAGGCTGCTGCCTGCCCAAGCCCTGGTTTCAGGTGGGTTCATGTGTGCCCCACTGAATGCTTTGTACATTCCCACTTTTGTATCTTATTCAGCCCCAGCCAACCAGCATGCCCAGTGGTCACAGAGGATGGGGCGTGAAGTTTAACAATATTCAAAGGGCTTCGGGCTCACCATCCCTCCTGTGGGACCTCAGTTCAGGAGCAGTGGGACAATTTTGCCAGTCCGGCGCGGTGTGCCTGTGACGGCTTCTCCTGGTCGCTCACAACCTTTCCCACAATCTTTCCCAGGTTTTCCCGTCATTGTCACTGTGCTGGCTGTTATCGGCAAGTCTGCTCTGGCTGCCTCTTTTTCCACCACTTACGTGTTTTCTGCAGAGGTATTTCCCACGGTTGTCAGGTGAGGATCTTCTTGCCCTTTAAATGTCCAAGTGGGAAGGGCCTTTAGCTTTCCATCTGCTCCTGCGCAGGGGTGATAAGAATTCCCCCAGGGCATGAAATGCATTCAAGGAGAGAAGGAGGTTGGCTATAGGAGGGAAGGATGGATCAGTCTGTGTGGTGCCACCCTCAGAAGGCCCTGGGCAGCCGCTGACCCATTCCCCACCTCTTGCCCCTGGGGTTCCTCCAGGGCTGGGCTCTGGAGAGTCTATGGCTGAATGAAGGTGAAGGGGCAAAGCAAGCTGGAGCCCACAAACAGTCCCAGCCAGACATGGCTTGGGACAGGGACACTGGATCTCTTGGAGCCCTCGTTCCGAGGTCCTGCATACTTGGAGCTGGGATTCCAGGCCCTGAACGCCTGCCCAGCTCTCTCTCCAATTGGCACAGGAAGAACTATGTCAGCTGCCTCTCCAAGCACCCGACTGGGCCTTGAAGAGGTGGGAAAGGGTGCATCGGGAGATGGGGAAGGGAAGAGGCAGGGGACGATGCTCCTCTGGGCAGCTCTGCTTCCTTCCCTCTCCCCCCTGTCACGCAACCCAGACAGCCAAAGATGGCCCTCTAGATCAGACACTTGGCATGAGCTGGAGCAAAGGCAGAGCTTGCTCCGTGCGTTGGACGCCTGTAAACCAGCCCCTTCGGAGGCTTGCATGCACCTGAAATTCTTCTACGGGCAGAGTGATTCTCCTGTGCCTGACGTCCCGTGTGTTGTCTTTCCACCAGGCAAACCGGCTTGGGCTTGTGCTCCATGTCGGCTCGAACAGCGGGCATCCTCTCCCCGTTGGTTGGTCTCCTGGACAAATACCACCCTGCCATCCCCATGTCCATCTTTGGAAGCACCGCAGTGCTGGGGGGAATCCTCTGCTTCCTGCTTCCCGAGACCCGGAACAAGGATCTCCAGGACAACACGGCCAACTCCTCATCGAGTCAGAAGTGAGTGGCTTGGAGTGCTGAAATTGCCCTGTCCGGGAAATGCTTGTCACATGGTGTATCCTAGAAACAGAGAAGAGCTGGAAGGGGCCATGAAGGCCATCCAGTCCACCCCCCTGCTGTTGCAGGACACCCATGTACACCATCCCACTCAGATGGCTGTCCAGTTTCTTCTTGAGTGTCTCCAGTGTGGGGGAGCCCCCCACCTCTCCAGGCAGCTGGTCCCACTGCCCCATTGCTCTGACAGTGAGGAAGCTTCTCCTGATGTCCAGCCTGGATCTGGGTTGTCGCAACTTCACTTGATTATTCCGTGTCCTGCACTCTGGCATCAGCAGGAAGAGATCTTCGCCTTCCTCTTTGTGGCAGCCTTTGGGGTACTTCTAGAGGGATCTCATGTCCCCCCTCAGCCTTCTCTTCCCAAGGCTGAACATACCCACTTCCCTCAGTCTCTCCTCACAGGGCAGTGTCTCCACACCCTGGATCATTTTTGCTGCCCTCCGCTGGACCCTTTCTCATTTTTCTGCACCCTTCTTAAATCTTGGTGCCCTGAACTGGGCATGGTTTGCTCCCTCCCTGTTCTACAGGGAGAGGTCCCAGTAAAACACTGCTCCAATGTTGCTCTTAAGGTAGGAGGAAGTCTGCAGAGCGAATGGGTTCTGCTCTCCAGTAAGAGTGCCTAGGGCTGCAGCCGCGCTGGATCCTGCCGCTGCAAGTGCCAGTCCTTAGACAGCCAGAGTGGCACCCTCAGGGCAGGAGCCAGCATGCCAGGGGGGAAATCGCAGGGTTTGCTGAGGCAGCCTTGGCCCTCCATGAGAGACCTTTAGGGAAACACCCACAGGAGTCAGGAAGCCCCCAGGCAGCCCAGCGAGGTGGGTGGCGCTGAGAAAGTCCATGCCGAAGAGACGGCAACGTAGGGGGTGAGGCCCGTGAGTGACCCAGGGCTACTTCCATCACATTTAACCATTTTCCTTTCTGTTAGGTCCAACAAGGCCATCCACAGTGGCTTTGGAAATGGGCCGGTGGAGCCGAAAGAAGATGAGCAGAAGGCTACGGAATCCACCATTAGCACATACCTCTAGCAGGAACGGCAAATTTCCATGCAGTGCGAAGGAACCACAGAGCATACAACTTTTTAGGGAAGATTTTACGAGACGCAAGAGCCACGCTGAGTGGGTCTCAGGTTCACCTCATCCAGCCCTTGGGATTGCACACTGACAAACCCGCTGCCTGCGGGATCCCACCAGAAGGCCAGGAATACAAGAGCACCCTCCTGCCCAAGTCCTCAGCAACGGCTGGACAGAAGCATGCTGCCTCTGATCTGGGAGGCGGCATATGGCCATGAGGGCTAGTAGCTGTGGAGACGAGTAGCCTTCTCCAGGAATTCCCCCAATCCCCTTTTAAAGCCCTCCAGATTGGAGGTCTTTGCAACGTCTTGTGTTGGTGCATTCTGTATTTTAACTGTAGCCTTTTCTCACGGGGAGCCACCCCACCCCAATGGACAATTTCCATTGCCCTCTTCTGTACAGTACTTTACACTATCCCTTTTTAGGTGACGGTCCCAGAACCATACACAATTGTGGCCACGCAACAGATTTGTGTAAGACGGTGTGCTATTGCCAATTTTATTCGCAATTCTTCTGCTAGTTATGCCCAACACGGAGTTGGCCTTTTCCACAGGAGCTGCATGCCGCATCCATATTTTCACCGAGACACCCGCCACTACCCAGAATTCCTGCCTTGGTCAGTCGCTGCTGCTCAGACCCCATTGAATAAGATGTGCTTGCACCCAGCTTGCAATTTTGCACTGGCTTGTACTGAACCCGGTTTGGCATTCGGATGCCTGCTCCCCCAGCTGGGAGGAGCACTTCGCAATTTTTTCTGTTTTAGGTGCTTTAAGTTATGTGATGACAGCACCAACCTCACCTTGAATTCTGGATCATTTATGAATCAGCTGAAAAGGCTTAGTCCTGAACCAGGTCACCCCGTGGCTGCCGCTCACCGCATGTGCTCCCCCAGCTTGGCAGAGCGATGGGATGCTTGTCCCAGAGCTCAGACCCCATGCAAGCTGTTCCTTCCCTCTCAACCTGAGTGAAAGGGTCACCGTGCATATTCAGAATAGCTCCCTGCCACTGCTTTGGTCCCCATATTTCTCTTTGACCATGGATCTGTGAACCGTGCGATCTGCTGATCAGAGATCCCACTGCTTACAAAAATGGACAAGTGAACAGTTTTGCTATGTGGATAACTCTGGTAAGTTGAAGGTGCTGAGCTCTCGGGGAGGAAAGGTCCATGCCTCGGACCCCCTCCCCAGAGGGTGACCACACATACTGCTTTACAGAGGAGAGTCCTCTGTTTGAAGACCTATCAGAAGACACTCTCCTGTCTGAAGGCATCCTCAGTTGGAAAGGCTTTCTGGTCCACGTCTGGTTTAAAGAGAGACGTGTGGTGTAGGAGAGCCAGTGTGGCGTAGTGGTTAAGAGCATGGGACTGGAACTCAGAGGATCTGCGTTCTAGTCCCCACTCAGCCATGGAGCCAACTGGGTGACTCTGGGCCAGTCACAGACTCTCAGCCCAACCTACCTCACAGGGTTGTTGTTGTGGGGATAAGATGGAGGAGAAGGATGTAAGCTGCCTTGAGCTCTTTGAGGAAAAAGGCAGGATATAAATCGAAAAATAAATAAAATAAATCGAAAATAAATAAAGATGAAGCAAAAGGAGGAACGGGTTGGGCTTTGCAGTTTGATGGATTTATTTACTAATAAAACTTATAGACCACTTAATAATAAAAATCTCCAAGAGGTTCACATGCCAGTTTTTTAAAAATCATATTTAAATACAGTATTAAAACATGATGGAAAACCATTTCAGCCACAACAACAAATTGCATGATTCAAGCAATCTGTAAACTGCTTTTCATACAGAATGGTATGAAAAGCAGTAAGATGGAGCAATATGCAACCAGCTGCCGTTCGTTGCAGGTTGGAGGAGGGTTATATCGCCAGTCAGCAGTTTCTGCCTGGAATGTTAACGGATAGGCAGCGGCTACCCTTGATTTAAATATTTTTTTAAAAAAGGATCTTGTTTCTCCTTAAAATATTCTATTACAGTTCTAAATGATACAATGGGGATTCTTCCTAACCCTCAGATATCAGAATCAACCCCATATCTGAAAGCAGAGTTTTGATGTGACAATTGTAGTTTTCAAGAAGATGTACTTTCAAGAAGTATGCCTAGAAGCTACACAGACTGAAAACACCCTCCTTTGTCTGGCAAAATTCTGGTATTAGCTTCCCCACCTATTGGCTGAGCCATCCAGTCAGTTATTTAGTTAGGTTTTCACTCTTTCTTTCCTTCCTTCCTTCTTTCCTTCCTTCCTTCTTTTTTTGGAAAGCTCTTCTGCCACATCCATGGGTCCTGCCAGTTGAGCAGGCTGAAGCCCTGTAGACAGGAGGGCAATGAGCTTTCTGTTTCTCCAGTGGCAGTTGCAGGAACTTCGTCTCCTGCCTTTCTGATCAACCTGCTGCTTGACGGGATTCCATAATCCTCTTCCTCCTCTCCATTTTATGTCCACAACAACCCTGTGGGGTAGGCTGGGCTGAGTGTCTGGCCCCAGTGGCCCAGAGAGCTCCGTGGCAGCATGGGGACTAGAAGCCAGCTCCTGCGAGTTGCAGTCCAGCACCGTGGCACGCCGGCTGGTGCCCACCCTTGAAAGGCGGCATGCGTTCCCTCAGTTTCATCCTTCCAACAATCTTGTGAAGTGGACTCAGGGCCACTTCGAGGCCTTCTGTCCCCAAAGTGAAGGACAGGTTGGGCCTTTCCTCTTGTTCCATGCACAGAAGCCATCCAGACTGGCAGCTGACTCTCCCGTGCCGGCCGCCACCGCCGTGGCCGCACAGCAGGGATGCTTGGGGGACACGGGGTAGGCAGTGCGGTACCCATCCAGCTGCGTCCGCCGGCCCCTTGCCACCCCTCCGGCAGAGCCTGACGCCTGAGGCAGCTGCCTCATTTGCCACATGGTAGGGCCGGCCCTGGATCGATGGGACTGGAAGGGAGAGATTTGCCGAAGGTTCAGGTGAGTTTCACCTGTGCCCTCCGGTTGAAGACCAGAGTTCTACCTCCACCCCTCAGACTTTCCCTCCTTGAGGTACAGGTGGCAGCCGATTCGTTCAGGAGCTCTGGGTGCACGTTGGAGCACCTGTGGGGCTCTGGGTGTCATCTCGGGGGTGCACAAGCACATGTTGTGCTTAAAGTGACGGCAGCTGTTGACTTGTCTGCTATTGGGAATGCAAGAGGGAGCTGCTCCTGCGGTGCATTTTGGGGCAGGTAAGCGCCGACTCTTCAGATGAGGATGCTTTTCCTCTGGGTCCTCCTGGGAAAGGAGGTCTGCAGACACAGGGGTAGCAGAGGAGGGGGTTTGCCTCAAGGCCCCCCATCTCCAGGGGTCTGGGAAAACCAGGGGACCAACGAAGTGCCAGGCGGACCCAGAGGAGCCCGGCCTGGTCTTTGACCCCGTGACGTGGCGTCAAGAGAGAAGGGCTGGCCAGGAAGATGGCCTGCATGGAGCTTAGGACACCTGCCCATCTCCCGGAAAAGGAAGGTTCTCGGAAACAGCTTCTAGTTTGGGTTCAGTGAACCACTCTGCATGCTCAGAGACCCTTCCTCTGTTGGCTAGTAGTTTTCTGGCCATATGGTAGAAATAAAGGGTTTTTACCTAAGAGAACTTCCTGTTTTTTGAAAGAGAGAATGGGGGAACCCACCTCCCAACATCGGCATGAAGTGAATCAACTTTGGGGTGCGTCCCAAAGATGGCACTCAAAGCCGGGGTTCGGGGGCATGTGGTGTGAAGCTCTGGCAAGATATGGGTGCAGGGATAGGACACAGCCCTCCAAAAACATAGCTCTTCCCTCAGAGCTCCCAAGTGGGGCTCATCGAGGCCCTGGCAGTGGCAGATGGGTCTGGGGGCTATCCTGCAACCCCAAGGTCAGTATTCTGGTGCTTGCCCAGGAAGTGAAGTTCTTGAGCTAACTGCTGGTGGAGAGAAAGACTCCTCTTGCCAGCGATTTGAACAGGCTGTCTGAAATAAAGTCCAAGGGCTGCACATTGCCCACCCCGAGACCCTAACCCTGCCCTGAAATGTTTTCTTTGCTGAGTCACATGCACCTGCTAGAAAGAGGATTGAATTTAGCCCTGCTTGATCTGGCGGAGCTGCTGAGAGGCTCCTGGGGAGAAGCCATGTCTGGGTGCTGATGCCACCTGCCCTCCCTGCCTCGTGTGTTTTCTTAGCAGCCACTTCAATAAATTTTTGGTTTGCAAAGAGACAGCCTCTTTTGGTGACACCACGAATCTTTAGGAAACTTGCCAAAGGAAATGTATCCTATAAGTGCTGTCTGGAACTTCTCATTTCTTAGGGAAGTGGAGCAGAAAGGAATCACTCTAATTCCTTCTTTGCAGAAAAGAAACCAGATGCTAAGCATGTGATTTGGGCCTCAGTGTATGAGGAAGAGCCTCACAGCTGCCTTTTGTTATCTCCAGCCTCTTTGGGAAACAATTCTTGCCAAGAGAATTTTAATGGATCCTTTTTTTTTCAGCTCATAAGGTGTTATTTTGGGCACTGGGAAAAAGAAGGAAATGGAGGCTTTTGGTTTCCCTTGGGGTTAGTGAGAGTAATTATCTTTTGACAGAGTAATACTAGTTACGGCTTTTTTTCCTCCAGAGCAAGAAGAGAATCAGTTGGGAGCATTTATGAAAGGACAGGATTGGGTAAGAAGGACAACTGCACCGAAGGAAACAGACCATGGAGAGAATAAGATGCTACACCTTTATGTGGTTTTCTAGAATCACACAGCTGTGAATGGATTAGAAGGCTAAAATGCTGCGAGGAAGAAAGGAACTGCTCAAGCTGCCAGCTCCTCACCTTGCAGCTCAAGGGCAGTCCAACCAACTCCTGTGTCCAGGATGCAAGCAATCAAAGCTGACCCCTGAATGACCTTTCTGGCTCAGCACTAAAGTCCCCCTGGTCCAGTGCTTGGTTTCCAGCAGAGGCCAAGCAGATGGTCTTCCGCTTTCTATCCCTAACACA